GAAGTCCCCCCCCCCCCCCCCCATGTGGTTTAAAGAAACTTCCTCAGACATGACATCAGAAAAATATATAATATATATATATTTCCATTATTTTATTTACTTATTTTATTTTATGTTATTTCTCTCTTTCATTATCTCTGACGTCTCCTGTGTTGTCTCTTGTATTTTGGAAAATTCAATAAACAAATTGTTCAGAAGCAAAAGAAGAGAGAAAGACGTCTCTTCACCATCTTGGAGCGCAGGTGCTGCATGGCCAGAGCGATGTGGTAGGAGGCGATGGTGAGGAGGCTCTGCAGCTCAGGGTCTGCACTCAGGTTTGCTCTGTTGGTCTGCAGGAAGGTCCTCAGGGTGCCGTAGCTCACGTACTCCAGGATCAGGATGTAAGGCTCTGCACCAATCACAACACAGTCAGACCTCCACAGGTTAGAAACTCTCTCTCCTGCAGGAACCAGCTGCTCTATGTCTCTCACCCTCAGTGGTGTTCCAGTCCAGTAACTGGAGGATGTTCTTGTGGTGCATCAGTTTCCTCATGATGGAAACTTCTACGTCCACGTGTTTGGGACGGACGCCTCGAGGGAGAAACACACAAACGTCAAACAAATGAAAATCTTCTTTCTTTCAGCTTAAAGATTTGTTAAAAATAAAATTAAAAATGACCAAAAAAAGATTCGTCTCTGTCTTTGACTTCATGTGTGTTCCTGGAACGAGGCGTGTCTGGTGACTTTTTAAAATGACATGGCGTCACAATGAGATCATGGTAACACTCACACATGTGAAAACACTGTCTGTCTAACAGGTGTGAAGACACCCCACGCTCTGACAGCAGGGGAGGAAGAGGAAGAGGTGGATTTATCTTCATGTTGTCCTTCACACCTTCCTCCCACAGCTTCAACATCCTAAACTGAGCTGTTATTATGTGTCAGGCAGCAAATACGACTAATGTTAAACACGTCTCACATGAGACAGGAGTTCATGGTGCTGCAGTGGGAACAACACTGACACATTATCACTGTCTAAACACACAGTGATTTATTTACACATCTAGCAGAAACCATCAGTCATCTGGAGGCAGGTTTGTGTCGGTGTTCCCGCTCTTTTAGCTCTGTGTTTGGTCTCCACCAGCTCCTGAGGGAAACATCTGACTCTTTAGCTGCTAAACGCTGCACTGTGTTCACCGGCTGAGTCTGTCAGCTGAGCGTGAAGCTGAAACTGTGAAAACCAAAACAAGACACACTAAAATGCTCCAGTCCTGTCTCTAGTTTTAAACTCTAGTTTTAAAATCTAGTTTAACTACTCTAACTTCCTGGTCCAGAAATCTGGATCAGGCCATGAGCATCTTTTCAGAACAGTTTTTACAGCCACTTTAACAAAGAACCTTCCTTTAATGTGAAACACTGACATTGATTGTTATCAGTCAAGTTGTCATGGCAACCACCTAAAGAGAGATAAACAAGGTTTGCTATGAGTGGTTTTGCTCGTGTTGAAACTAGAAGATGTTTTTCAAGAATATCTCATGAAATATGAAACTTAACACAAGTTTAATGAGATCAATAAAAACATGACTTCACACGGGTCAGCTGTACCTTCTTTGCTGATCTTGCATGTGAACATGTTGTGGCCCTTACACGTCCCCCTGCTCATCCTCGCCTGGTAGAAGACGCCCTCCTTTCCCGCTTTGATCAGCTGCAGCAGGTTCAGGTCTGACTTCATGAAGCCAGGATCCTGACAGAGACCACGTGAAATATGAATGAAATATTAACGAGGCCGGTGGCTGATGATGATGAAACTGATGATCTAGACAGACAGAAATCAAGCGCTCCTAAAGCAGTTCTATCACCTGACATCATGAGAACATTTCTATCTGCCTCCTGTGGTGACGTGAGAACGTGGGTACCTGCTGCAGGCCTTTCCACAGCTTCCTGGACGAGGACCTGACTGTGCTGCCCTTCTGCAGGGGAGTCTGGAGAGGAAGCTCCTCCTCCTCCTCCTCCTTCACCTGCTCCACCGCCGCCGCCACCGCCGCCGCCGCAGCTGCTGGGAGCGCCCTCAAAGGTGTGATGGGAGCTTCCAGCTGAGGGTCAGAATCCAGCAACAACTTCCTCCCCTGCAGCTCCCGGACGGTCCGGACCAAAGATCGATACCTGTGAGAAAATGGAGCGAACCAACGGAAAACACTGAAAGACCTGGGGGAGATTTGTTGTTTACTGGAAAGAAAATACAGACAAATATATCTGTGAAAAACAAAATCTGGAGTGGATACTGTTGCTATGGTAACAGCTTTGTCTCCAGTTGGAGGGCAAAGAACATATTTCAGAATGAATCCAGGAGTAAAACATGAACTGTTTCTGACATTGAATGAAAATAAAACAAGAGTCTCCGGACCATCTGCTAAATGCTAATCTTAGCACTGACAGTGTTAACATGCTGTGTAGCAGGTTGGAATATCTTTACCATCTCATCCTGACAGGACGTAAATGTCTGTAGCAAAACCAAAACTTTCAACCTGCTGATGGCGCTAGAGATAAACTCAGGGGGATCTGATTATCTGTATGATGATTCTGTAAAATAAATTGAGTCACTGAAACTGAGACCAAAACCTCAACACAGACTTTCTCAAATGTCATTTTTCTAAAATTAAAATATTCTAAATAATGTAATATAATATAATATAATATAATGTAATGTAACATAATATAATAGAAGAAATGAATTTTCCCTCACTGTGTAAATCTTTCTTTAGCTCATCGAAACATAAAAGCAGCACAAAAGCAATTACCATTTAAAACTGGTAACATTTACAACAAAGGTGAAAACAACAAACCAGAGGCAGACAACACCAACAAACAAACAAACAAACAAACAAACAAACAAACAAACAAACAAACAAACAAACAAACAAACAAACACTGAAAACCAGTGTCAGTCGTTCGGTCTCTGGTACATTTCTGCAGAAATGTGTGCTGTAGTTCAAACAACACATGAAACTAATAACATTAACAATGATTGAGTTTCATTTGCAGGTATTTAATCATCATTAATGTCAGTCACACCTGTGCTGTTACCTGCTACGACAGGTGAGCCAGCTGAGAATGAATCAGTTTTGACAGAATATGATGCGAGACTGTGCGACCCGACCGGGGAACAGCAGCTCTACGTGCTGTATATCTATGTACTGACTCAAGTGACGGCACCTGTTCTTTCAGTCTTGAATGTCGAACTTTGTGTTTTCATAAACAGATTTATGTCACATGAACTTTTCCGACTCTTACTTTCTGAGACACATGACGCCCAGCAGAGTGAAGATGAGGACGGTGGCGGAGAGGAGTCCAGTGAGGATGAAGACGAGCGGCTCCGGGATCTGACCTGAAACAGACGCAAACGCTCAGCTGCAACACGCTCCAGTGTGATGTGAGAGTCACCTGTGAAGCCTGAGAGCTCACCTGAGCAGTTAGCTTCACTGGAGTTAGCAGACATGATGTCGTCTGTTCACTGAGGTCAACACGAGGAGGAAGAGGAGGAGAACGTCAGTCTGAAGAAAAGATGAGAGCGTGTTAATATGAATTTAATCAACAGTCAGACAAATTAGTTTCTCGTAAAAGTTTAATCACAACATGATGAATTTTGTAGAAGCTGAAAACCCATGAACTTTAAACACATCAGACACAGAGCAGCTTACCTGTGTTTTCTGATAAAGTCCATCCTGACTGATCAGGGACCAGCTGGTGTCGATCTGCTCTGGATCATTCTGTTTGGATTCTGTGAAAAACTTGTCAACAGCCGCAAGTCGTGTAAACCTCTAACCTGAGTGTGTGTGATCAGCAGCAGCAGCAGCAGCAGCAGCAGCAGCAGCAGCGTTCCTCCTGCCAACCACAACAGAAGCAGAGGAAATGAACAGAAGGGAAGGTGGTTTGAGCTGCACGCCTCTCTGTATCACACTCAGAGAGACTGTCGACCCGCCGGAGACTGAACTATGATCACCCCCCCACACACACATTTAAACTCAGTCTGTACAGGCAGCAGTTGGGGACAAAAAGCTTATTTGACATGTGAAATGTAAAACGATAAAACAGGTTTAACCAAAAATATTAAAGCTCCTCAGTGTAAAGGTCTGTGTCCATGTGTAGTGTGATTATAGATCAGCTCTAGCTTCTATATTAATACTGTGAAAGTATCAAAGCCTCAGTCCACAGAGAAATGCACACAGCCTGTATTCAGAAACTGAGCCTTAAAACCAGCCGTCAGGACTTCTGGAACTTTGTGATGTCACAACAAAGCAGTCACCAAGCCCCGCCCACCTGGACCCACCATCCAAACCTTGCAGGATTTGGTTTCTCTGAGTGTTTTTACCTGAAATCTGCTATATTTTTATTTGATCACTCAGAAAACAGTCAGCCAATCAGAAGAGAGGCTCAGAGCCTCCTCTCTTCTGATTGGCTCACCGACCTGTTGTTACTAGAGCTCCAGAGAGAAGCCTGAGAGAGGAGATGTGAAACTACACTGAGATGGTTTTTATATCTTCTGATGGATCAACACTTCAAATAAAACACAGAAGAAGAAACATGGAGCTTTAAAATGAACATCCACACATTAGCATGCTGCTAACATTTAGCACAACACAACCTTTAGCAGATTTCACAGTATTAATATAGAACCTAGAAGCAGCATCTTTACGCTCTTTGAGGTGGAGCTAATTTTACTGTTGGGATATGCATCTGCTCATTACTACAGCTCACCTCTGGTCCACAATTTTTGCACAAACTATTATAATAATATAAAGTAGAATACAGTAGAAATACTCAAGTGAAGTACAAGTACTTGAGTGGAAGTACTGGATTGACTGATGGTAGTCTAGAGCAGAGATCAGGATAATGATGATAGTTCCTGTGTTTTCTGTTTTTTTGTTTTAGAGCATGATGGTTTGTTTGTTTCCTCTAAACTTTAGTGTAGTTGATTTAACGAGCATCCGATTCGCCGTGTTAATTTAACACATTTGTGTTTCCACTACCAACAGGTCTTATGTTGCTTCCCTCTTCTCCAAACTGCGAGCTGGGTTGAGACACTTGATGTTCGAGGGACCAAAATGTGTCAGTGAGGATGAGAAGAAAAGCCCCTTCACGTGGTGCGAGGACAGACACATGTTTGATTCTGGGAAGTGGCTGCAGAGACCCTGAGTGTGGTTTCCTCTCTGCAGACAGACAAACTGCAGCAACAACAACAGATCATGATGACACTTCCTTTATAGTCACACAGTTTGAATTTACTCTTAATAATGAAAATTGAATCAACAATTACTGCGAGTTTAGCTCATGAAGAAGAGGAGGGGGTGGAGCTGTAGTTACTGTCATGTTCCACAGTGGAAGCTTTTCCTGTACTGTGGCAGTGGACGAGCTGCAGAATAAACCTTCTGGCCCAACAAAGGCCTGAATCCTCGGCCCGAGTCTGGCCCGTATACTTCCTCATCTGGGCAGATTCCAGCTGTTATCCTCTGGTATTGACTGAAAGCTGAAAGATTTTCCAGATGTGGCCGTAGAATCATGCCGTATATGGGCCAGATTTGGGTCGTGGAACCCGGTGTATACTGGGCCTGAATTTATGCATAAATAAATGTGGCCCATACTTGGAGGGCCACATTTATGTCCATACGGAGGACAACAGCTGGAATTTGCCCAGATGTGGAAGTATACGGGCCAGACTCGGGCCAGGGATTCAGCCATACGTTACAAAGTTTCATTTTGCTGTCTGGGATCTCGTTTTCTTAGATGTTTGGACATTTCATGTCGCTACAGTAGCAGCTAAGGGAAGGTTATCTGCTCCTTTTGTTCCTGAACCAACCAGCTGACCACCAGTCCGACAGTACCGAACACAGATTGGTCCAAAACATTTATTCTGACGTCCGTGTTAAGACGTTATATTTGCACGTCTAAAGACGACAGAGTATGTTGTGTTATATTTGGGAGACACCACTTCATCACATTCTGAGGGGAAACCACACAGACCTAATCATTTTAAAGGAAGAAACAATTCCCCATTCACCCTATGACCTATGACCTTTTACATAATATTTACATACTGTACATATATATACACATATATATAATATTGACATTATTAATATCTGCATTTTTTTATAGGCCACTACTTACTGAGAAAAATGTAACTTCAATATCATAACTGTCATTTAATGTGGTGTGTTTGCCACTTGCAGCAGTATTAGAGCACAAATGGAAGTATTGATGGATGTTCATAATTAGCATGTTAGCACGGCATTTTCTGTCATCTAAGATTTGACGTCTTAACAAAGAAGCCAAAATAAAGGTTTTGGAACCAATCCACGTCCGTCCTGCAGCCACGCCTCTGACAGGACTAAACAGGAAAGACTCAGGACACAAATGAAACCGCGCGTCAGTCTGCCGCCATCGTTTCCTCTGCAGAATTTAATTGTTGCTTGGGTATTTTGTTACAGATCAACGGTATCACTCCATATACAACTACAAGTACAGTATTTTGTACAGTTCATATTCAAATACATAGTTTTCATTGGCTTATTTACAAAACACATTTTTTTTTTTTTATGTACATGTTTTCATGTCAGTGCAATGTCACTTTCTTTCAGCAAACACTTTACAAAAAAAAGTTCTTTAAATTAACACGTCCGGTTCAGATCCGACAGGAACGAACTTAAATAAAAAGAGGCTACAGACACTGACGGACAGCTCAGTAGTAGATTGCATCGCCTGCAACACTGAACTATTCTTGTGGTGAGGTGGGGGGGGTTGGGGGGCAGCGAGGGGCGGGGCTTCCGGACACAGGTGGGGTGGGGGGGTGGGGTTTCAGATATTAGTTTTATAGGATCTGTGTTCGCCCGTCTTCAGCGTCAGAGCTCAGTTTAGAAAATCTTTGTTCCGGGATTCATGAAACTTGTGCTGAAATTAACCTCGACTTTTACACGGTTTGAGCTACAGGTGTGGTTAGCTTAGCATCACACACGTAGCACACGTTCGAGGGCACATTCACAGCCACAGAAGAAGAAAATAAATTGACGGCTATTGCACCTTTAAACCCACAAAGTCCTCAAGAGACAAATCCTCTAAAACTTTCCCTTTGAGCCACGAGATGACAAACACACACTGGACGTCGTCTGCAGCTCGGCGCGACGGCGTCAGGATGGAGGAGAAGAAACAAAGAGCCGGGCAAGCGAACATAAATATCACTCGTATGTACATTTCCATTTGTTCAACAAACGTTCTCTTTGCAAAAAGGAAAATAAAGTTTCATTCAGTGACAGACATCCGCCATGACGCCATTAACGCCATTAACGCTATTAACGCCATTAACGCTATTAACGCCATCTTCTCATAAATACAGCAGCTAAAAAAGGAGGCGAACACAAGAAGACAGAGCGGGAAACCATCAGAGCCACCGAGCGTCTGTTCACAGTGATTAGACTGAACCCTGCGCAGGAGCAGCTCACTCACACTCTCTCACACACACACACACACACACACGCACGCGCGCACACACACACACACGCACGCGCGCACACACACACACACGCACGCGCGCACACACACACACACGCACGCGCGCACACACACACACACGCACGCGCGCACACACACACACACGCACACACACGTCTCTGCTGCTGTTTGTTCATTTCACACCTCAACACGTCAAACCTTCAGATAAAAACAGGAACCGAGTTCAGATTCAGATCAAAGACAAAAAGAAAGATTTTCTACATGTCGGGTCCAGTGATGTCACACATCTAATAAACAGTCCGGGGGCCGGTTGCACCAAAAACCCTTAAGTTAAGACTTTCCTTAAAGTCTGAGTTAAGGTTTCCTTAAAATAAAAACACCATTAAGTTTTCTCCTTAAGGTTTCCGTGAAGTTCCCGCCCAAACAACAGGAGGACGAGACACCGTGCTCCTTTAATGCTGCCGGCTTTGTTTGACAATAGATAGCAACAATGGTCTCCATGGAAACAGTAGAATTTTACTGCTGTAAAATGTCTTTCACTACCGTAAAATACTTTTTTATCCTAACTAAGGACCTTAAAACCTTTTTAAGAGATTCTGTGCGTCTCCCTTAAGTAGCTCCATCAGCTAAGGAGAAATTAACCTTTAAGTAGAAAACTTAAGGTGTTTTGTGCGACCGACCCCAGATGCCAAACAGTGACCTTAAACCATGTGGTGACACAATGTGGGTCTGAGATTACTGAGTCATGTTTTCATGTTTAAAATGGAGTTTAACAGTTAAATTATCTATTAAATAAATATTTATTAATTGATCATTTAATATTGAAAATTTTCTGAAGACGACTTGAAATGTTTTGGTTCCCTGTTGCCAACATTTACACCAGGAGTTCATTGAGTTTAATTAACTGAAGGTGCATTTGAATTAGAACACAGTCTCTGTTTCCCCGGTAACTAAAAATCACACCTCCATCACCTGCTTTCAGGAAACAACCAATGGAACCAATCACGGCAGGGTTAAGCCCTTATTATGGCGCAGGGGAAACAGTGATACAGGAGCCGCCCCCCGTTCAGTTCATGTTATCACTCTAACCGTTCTTTAAAATGTGGTTTCAAAGACAAAAACCACAGAGCTCGTGCTGGCGCTGACATGTTGTGGCCTTTAAAGAGTAACTTAACACCTTCTGTTAAAGAGGAACTCCATGATCTCACCTGAGTCTGAGTTAATGAACAAACAAAGAAAGAAAGAAAAAGAAGAAACACGTTTGAAATCCGGGGGAGGTGGAGTTAGGAAGAAGTGATCTTCTACAGCCGCTAACACACCTCAACATCCAATCAAGCTGCTGGCAGTTGAGTCTCATTTTGGTTTGGCGTTCGCGGTCTACGACTGGCCACGCCTTCGTAGGACACGACCCCTGAACCGGGACAGAGCTGATCTGATTCCCGCTGTCATGGTGAGTTCAGGGGAGTTACGTTACTCTTTAAATGTTATCATGTGATTCCCCTTATAAAGGATTTATAAATGGCTCATAAAGATGTTATTAACACTTTATAACTCATCAAGTTACTAATATTCATAACTGGTAACAGGAGCCTTATAATAAAGTGTGTAATCATCATTTATGAATGAGTTACTATAAGGCTCCAGTTATATATGAGCTATATATCAATATATGGATCAATGTGTGAAAACTGTTAGAACTTGTTTATGATTTATAACGTGTTAATAACCTGATTATAAATCCTTTATAAAGGTGAACTTATTGTGAAGTGGTGCAGACTTTGTGATGTCAGTGAAGGGATCTCCAGCGTCCTGACCGTTCCTGCTCTCTGATTGGCCGAGGGTGAGAACATCAGCATTACATCTGATCCCCCCGACCTGACGCGGCTCCTGAAGCCGCCTTAAAACAATAAAAATAAATCTTTTTTTTTTTTATAAAAACAAGAATCAAAAAGAAAAACAACATGACAAGTTTACTGTGTTAATCATGGCACTGTGCTAAGCTAACCAGGCTAACCAGGACACACACAGGTCCACACACACAGACCTCTGATTTCTGATATTTGGCAGAGTTTTGGCAGAAAGTGCCTCGTTTCCTGTCGACATCAGGACCTGTGTGAGTCTCCTACGAGGAGGGGGGGAGCGAGGTTGTGTTTTAGTTTATTTCAATGGTTGGAGGGGGGTGGGGGGGGATCCTGAAATGTGTGTACCATGTCTCCTACACAGGAAGGAAGCATTTAATTATTATTATTGTTAATATTATTAATACTGTCACAGGGTTTCAGGGTTGTTGGCCGACAGACTGCGAAGCGATGAGGTAGCGTGTGACTGATATTTTCATCCTTAGTGAAACTACCGCTAATAAAAACCTTTGGAGAACCATTTTTTAAAACGTCACGGCGACCTGCGGCGTCCAACGTGACATCATCACACAGGTGCCGTCTAACTGTTGGGCATCCGTTGGCATCAGATCTGAATCTGTGTCCAATCGTTACACCTGGAGCTGATCATGTGACCTCAGGTGAGGTAACACAGGTGAGCTCCAGGTGTAAATGTTTGTTTCATTCTGACATCACAAGTGATCAACGCACAATAACGAGGCGACATCACTGCAGCACGTATGTTGTATGTTACATGTATGTTATGGCGAGGGGGAGGGGGGAGGGGTTTGTTTTGTCGGGCTCAGCAAAGTGCACCAGTGTAGTGCTTTCACCGGGGCTTCGTCGTCGTCGTTGTCTTGGCAACCTTTGCACTGATCCGTGTAGAAAGTGCTGCGACGCAGAGGGCGCAGTCTGACTCTGGCCGTTAGCAGTTCTCTTCAGAGCGGTCTGAACGTCTGGCTCCGCCTCCCGCTCGGAGCAGCAGCAGCAGCAGGAGGGGGAGGGGGAGGGTGAGGTGGGGGGGCTGATGGAAGACGACGACGCGGGGTCACTGGAGGACACAGTATTTCTTGTAGTCGGACTCAAAGTCTTCGTCCATGCTACTGGTGTCGGCCATCTTTTTGCCGTCGATCTTTGGCAGGAACTGGGAGTAGTCGACGCCCTGCTGCTCGTAGAAGAGGATGTAGGCGGAGTCACTGTCGACCTCCTCAGAGTGCACTTCCTGAGGGGGAAAAAAAACGTGTAGTATATGTTTCTGCATTAATGCTTCTGTGTTGCTGATGTTTTTATTTATTTTTCTTTTTTTTAAAGTTATATTTTTGGGCATTTTTGCTTTTATTCTGAAAGTACAGTGAGAGAGAGAGAGACAGGAAATCCTCCTCGCTGTTTTCTACTGTTTACTGACGCTGTTCTCCGGTGAGTTTGTGACGTTGAACGTGACACAAGAAAAATGAGACTGTCGCTCCGACCTGCTGCTGAGCCTCGATCGGGGGAGGGGCTTAACAAACAGTCAACTGCTCTGATTCAAGGTGAATAAAATGGATATCTTTTAAAGGCAGTGTGTGTGTGTGTGTGCGTGTGTGTGTGTGTGTGTGTGTGTGTGAGGTATAATTCTTTTACTAAACCAACTGAATATGTTAATGAGTCTGATAACTGGACGAGGTTCAGTCTCACCTTGCAGCTGCTGTCGTTGTAGCAGTACCACTTGTCGTTGGGGTTTTTGGCGTACGTCACGTAGTGGCCGCCTCCCATGATTCCTGAATGGCACTGAGGAGACGGACAGAGAAACAGTCAGACTGGTGTCAGGCGGTGGCGTTCAGACTGTGTGTGTGACGGCGACTCACTGATATTGCATAGAGGTTGTAGATGGCGTCCAGACACATGTTGTCTCTGTGCTGCAGCAGCGAGCCGTCGGGGTCCATGCCGCTCTCCAAGCTGCAGTCGGAGCTCAGCCCGTTACTGTCTCCGTTCACCAGCACCACGTCACAGTGGCTGCTGGACGCCTCCGTGCTGCACCAAGACTCTGACGTCATCGCCTCTCCCGATCCAGGAAGACCCGCCCCCCCTGCTGCTGCCGCACTTCCCTCTGTGTCCGTCTGCGATGCGTTCTCCCGCGGCTCGGCCTCAGGGTTCGCCGCTACGTCCAGGTTCTCCTTGCTGTTGGAGAGGCGGTGTCTGCTGCCCAGCTGAGGCAGGCGTAGCCGGCCCGGCTTGCGGCCGCCGCCGCTCTTTGGGCTGCTGGAGGGGCTGCTGGTCCGGCTGAGAGACGGCGCCGACTTCCTGCTGGAGGCCGGCGAGGCTGTGGAGAGAGCAGAGGGTTAAAGACACGACTCTGATCATCTACAATTCAGTCCAATTATTTGAAACTAGATTCTGACAGGTGAATGTTTTGACCAAAGTTGAAGAAGTTCTGTCGAGGTGTAAGTGAGATATCGTGTCCACGAGAAAGAGACGGATGGACGACCTGAAAACAAAATGGCCGAGTAAAGAAAGACGAGGGTCAGCATGTGTACCTTTGTTGAGGTTGCAGAAGCCGGCGGGGGCAGAGACGGAGGACAGGTTGTCCTCTCCGACCCTCAGCAGGTCCTCGCTCTCGCTGCGGGAGTGGAGGCAGTGCTGCTCCAGGTCTCTGGGCGCCAGGAAGGCGCTGGGGTCGAAACTCTCCCGCGGGAACTTGACGATCTTCTGGGATTTGATCCAGCGACCGTTGACGAACTGGAAGCGCTTCAGGTGGACGATCTGGAGAGGAGAGCACACGTCACACTGAGGACCGCGCTGACCAAAGAGCTCTACACATAAAAACTACCCCCGACAGTCTGCGACCACTGACCAGGATGGGGGGCAGCCTCCACAGGTCCAGCTTCTTGGTGGCGAGCCGGTGGGTCTTGCACTTGGAGCAGTAGTAGAGCTCGTCCTCTCCCAGCTCCTCCTCGCTGGTGAAGGCCTTCAGACAGCTGTCCAGGCTGATGGGCTCGGCCTGCGCCCGGCGGGACTGCTCCACGCTGCAGTGCTCCTCCACGATCTGCAGGGACACGACGGGGACGGGGACGGGGGGGACGGACATAAAAGCAGAAGAAGAAATATTTCTATGAGACAAAGTGAAGTCGCTGCAGAATACTTCAGCAGACACACACACTCAGTGTAACACAGCCCGTCTCAAAGCAGCTCCCTCCACTCTGGACTGGAGTGTTGAGCGGCTCACCGGTGACCCCGTGTGGTCAAACCTGGAACTGCAGGCGCCACTGTCCCTCACTTTGCTCTCACCTCAACGACGCCTCAAGACGAGGAGACTGAAACTGACAATGAGCTTCTGCTACAAGAGCATGAAGGGCTGCACATGAAGCATGGCTATTATCTCAGAGCTGTGTGTGTGTGTGTGTGTGTGTGTGTGTGTGTGTGTGTCTCACCCTCTCCTGGGAGGTCTGGTAGCGGAGGTGCAGGGCAGTGGGGTCCCAGTCCACAGCGATGTAAGCGTTCCCGACAGAGGCTCTGTCCTCAGAGCAGTCTATCATACAGCCTCGACAGAACCTGGACACACACACACACACACACACACACACACACACACACACACACACACACACACACACACACACACACACACACACACACAAAATATTTCCTCAGATTTTACTTTGTTTTCTGTTTAAGACAAAAATCAAATCTTACATTTAATATTTGATCACATATTTTCAGGGCACATGCTCCTCACTGAACTCTCATCTCTACCAGGTGTGTCACTGTCGACTTTCTCACCTGTACCAGGGACACCAGGCACAGGAGTTCCCGTCCTTCCCCACCACCCGCAGAGTGAAGGGGTACTGGTATCCCATACTGTCATCACTGCAGGAAACACACAGAGAAGAGTCAGCTCCTCCTGCTCAGACTGTGAGGTCACTTCCTGTTCGTCCAGTCAGAGAAGACATTAAACATCTGCGTGAAGTCTTAAGTAATGGCTAAAAAGTGTTTTGTGAGGTCACCATGACTTTTGACCTTTGACCACCAGAATCTAATCAGTTCAAAGAGAAGGCCTAGTGAACGTTTGTGCCAGATTTAAAGAAGTTCCTTCAAGGCGATACTGACACCTGAAAACAAAATGGCGGCTGTGACTGTCGTCGGCGCGGAGGAATAAAATAGTTCCGGTCAAGTTTCAAGCAACAGAATACACAAAAAAAGAAGACAGAGGACTGTGGGCCTACCAGTCCTGGGCGTGGTTACTCGCTTCCTGCGGGGGCAGCGGGCTGGCGAGGCGGGACACCTGGATCCAGACGGCGTCGTACAGGTCTTTCTTACTGGTGTGGACCGTGCAGGGAACGATGAGGGGCATCCCGAACAGACTGGGCCGGTTCTTCTGAGACGACAGGAAGTAGAGCTCCGTACGCATCTGCAGGTGAACACAGACACACGGAGGTCAGGTCACGAGCTGCGACCAGCCGGGACTACTTTTTCTACACGGCGTACTGTCTCACCATCTTCCTGTGCATGGCGATGATGTAACCGATGAAGGGGCTCTCCTGCACCGGGGTCAGGTGTCCGTTGGTGACCCCGTTGGCGACGGGCGTCTCTGGGGTGGAGGGCGCCAGGCTGCTGGGGCCTCCGTTAGGGATCAGGACGGGCTTGTTGCTCAGGTGTCCGTTAGCTATCGGGGTGACGTCTGAGGAAAGAGACAGGGCTGTAGGTGAGGGTGGGTTCTCAGACAGAATTATGGGTAATGTAAACACAGAGAGCGGGTGAGCTCACCTGTCAGTGTGGGGGAGCTCAGAGAGGTGGGTGACCCCGGCACCGGGACCTCGAACGCACACAGGAAGCCGTTAACGGACAGACGCACCTTCTGGTTGTCCTGGGGGAAGTTCTGATCACAGAGGATTTATACGTCAGACTGAGAAGCAGAGGTTCATTTCAGATCAGGTGAAGTTACAGGTGAAGTTACAGGTGAAGTTACAGGTGAAGTTACAGGTGAAGTTACAGGTGGATGAAGGTGGTTGATGAAGATGAAGCGATGGCAGCAGCCTGAAAACTAATACCAGCTAAAGATGAAGCTTATTTTATTTGTTATGTGATGATGCCCACACACACACACACACACACACACACACACACACACACACACACACACACACACACACACACACACACACACACACACACGTGAACAACAGATGAAGTGAATGTATGTTGTGTTTCTGGAGGTTAAGCAGTTTGTCTTTATGATGTGAGTGAACTGAAGCTTTCATGGTGATGTTGTGGAACCAGGAGAGACGTCTGTCCTCCGTGTCTCCAGCTGTGACAGCTGCAGCCTCAGTACCTTGATGTTGGAGGTGTGGACCTCGGCCAGGAGGATCTGCTCCGGCTTCAGACTGCACAGCTCACTCAGCTGCCTCTTCAGTCCCGTGTACTTCTCGTCCATGTTCAGCCTCAGGCCGTAGCGCACGGGCGTGGACCCGTCCAGTTTAATGACTGAAAACACAAACAGGAAACAGGAGTCAGGCTCCGTGGTCGTTACAAAACAGGAAGTGAGTCTCAGAGTCTTTGTCCCCGTCCTCAGGCGTCCTCCTCACCTGTGATCTCCAGGTGCATGGAGCTGTCCATGGGCAGCGGCAGAGACAGGAAGTTGAAGGGGTCGAAGCGAGCGCTGATGTGGCCGCAGGTCTTACACTTCACCTGAGACTTCAGCTGACCGTGGAACAGCTCCACCACGATGGAGCGGTTCCTGCGCAGGTGGTTACTCCCGACGCCTGTACAACACACACACACACCACACACATCACACACACACACACACACACACACACACACACACACACACACACACACACACACACACGAGATCACACACTGTTAATCCTCAGGACAAACAGAGCGTCGATACATCATCACCAGATTAAATGAATCTGATCTGATGCACTGACTGTTACTGACTGTTACGACTGTTACGACTGTTACTGACTGGTACTGACTGTTACTGACTGGTACTGACTGTTACGACTGTTACGACTGTTACTGACTGTTTCTCAGAGCAGCAGATCGATGTGTATTTGAAGCTTCATGTGTATTTTGTGACTGAAGCTTGAAACTTTCTCCAGGTTTCAATAAAGCAGGAAGTTGATCTTCAGGTGTGATCTCTGGGGGGGCGGAGCCTCCTGGAGTCATGAGTGTAGTCCAGGCTAAACTAGCATGCTAGCGTCTCATTAGAAGGATTGCTAGTGTGAAGCTCGTCATGTGATTCCATAGATACAGAGCAGAAGAAGCTAGCGACGACAGATGTGTTTGTGTCTCCTGATGAATGAGGAACCATCTTCCCGCTCTTTCTCCTGAGAGAAACTTCCGACTCTTCAGCTGCTAAATGTTCCACCATGTTCACCAGTTATTAGGAGCCTGTCTGAGCGACACATATAACACATATACACAGTATTTGATGAGCGGTGTGACCTCTGACCTCGGAGGCCACCTCCCAGTCCGGCCGGCCGTCGCTGTCCTTCAGCTCCACATAGGGTTTCTCGTGGACTCGGTTCAGATCTTCGTGCAGACCGTCCAGCAGGAAGGCGAGCAGCTCCTGGGAGTCCTGCTGCTGGAAGCCGTTGAAGCGCGGGGCGTACTTCGCTATCGTCCACTGGAGAGGAAGTGATGACATCACAGACAACATTAACTTTACTTTTAAAAGCATTTCTTAAAGGCACCGGACCAATAAACACACAGATAACAGTGTGTGACAGGATTTACTCTGAGTTTGAGCGGCGCCACGTTCTTCTGCGTGCCGCTCCACAGCTCCATCACCAGGTCGCCGTAACACTTGGCCATGTGACCTCGCATCCCGATGGGGTTGGTTCTGTGGACGCACCAACACGGGTCAGATAAAGGTCAAGGGTCAACTGCATGAAACACCTTCAGTTAAGATTGTCCTTAAAGTCAGAGTTAAGGTTTCCTGAAAATAAAAACTGTTGCACAAAACACCTGAAGTGCTTCAAACACCTGAAGTCTTCTCCTTAAGGGTTTTCTCCTGATCTCTGTCTGATACTTCAGGAAGCACTTAAAGTCAGTTAAGCTGCTGCAAAGACCTTAGTGACCAAACTGAGGAAACAGTTGTGATCAATGAAGAGGGTGAACCCTGATGGAGCCTCCACCAGAGGAACTGATTTATTGATTTCTCTCTATAGATCTGATCAGTTTGTGATCTGATCACAGATCAGCTGTCTCTTCAGCTTGCTGCAGTTCATGACGCTCTGCTGATGCACTGACTGTGTTGATGTGTTGATGTGATGATGTGTTGATGTGATGATGTGTTGTTTGATGTTCTGTGGTTTTCCAGTCAATCACTGGTGAAGTATTTCAGGTCGATCGATCAGCTGTGTGAGTGTCAGACGCTCTGACCGTCTGCTGAACACTGTGCTGAAGTTTCCATGACAACAACAACAACAGGAGGACAGCGTGCGGAATAACAAACACGACCCATGTCAGGATTCAAGCGCCCCTTCAATATGAGGATCAGCATATAAGCATATGTTATCTTATGTGTATTAACGGTCTCCATGGAAACTGTAGAATTTTACTGCTGCAAATTCCTTAACGTTTTTCCTTAACAAAGGAAACCTTTTAAGAGATTCTGTGCAACACCCTTAAGTAACTTCCTCAGCTGAGGAGAAATTCACCCTCTAGTGTCAGACTTAAGTAGAAAACTTAAGGTGTTTTGTGTGAGACTGGCTTCTTGAACGTCACCTGTTGAGCTCGTAGAGGTGTCTCCCTGAGATGAAGTAGTCTGTGAGCGGCTTGGTGTTGCTCACACACTGGATACTGGAGTTCATGAAGCAGGTGTTGCCAAGGTTACTGAGACCAGTGGCTCCTTTCTCCGTAGGAACTGGAAAACAAGGACACACTGGTCAGACCTAAACAACCTATTGAGTAACTTCCACTAACAGCTGTAACATCTTTACCTGCTGCAGATATGAGAGAAAATATTAAAAACAACTGCTCTGCTCTGGAGGAATCAAAATCATCTGCTCAGTGATTCAGGCTCTTTATGTTAATTAACTCTGTGGATAACCTGGATGTTATAAAAGTGTCTTCTGTGGTTTATTGATCTCACTGGTCGAGCGGACTCTTCAAATTAAAAGCCTGTTTTGTTTTTTTTACCAAAATCAATGAATCAATTACAAACTTTCCTCCTGCTGAAGCAGCTTCTCTAAAACACTGAGTCAAAGGTGAAGTAGTGATCTTCAACAAACATGGAAGAAAACAACACGTCCACGTAGAGATTCAAGGTGTCAATGGGCAAAACATCCACCAATCAGCTGTTTCTGCTCATGTCCTCACCTTTGTGTCTGTCCATCTTGCTGCTGTTGGCGATGAAGGACATCTCCTCGGGCCAGCTCATGTCTTTGTTCCGGACTGTGAGGAAGAGGAAGACATTTCACGAGCCGTCATTCAGAACGACCTGTTACCACTGATTATCTGCTCGTTACGGATCAATTACAAGTTCATTATAAACAGAGACAGAGGGGGGAGGAGCTTCATACCTTCAATGACCAGCTGCTGCTCGTCCTGGATCTTCAGACTCTCCAGAGTGTGGTCTTCATCGTCCAGGAGGGTGAGGTAGTTCTGCAGAGCGACGAGAGGAGGAGTTACTCATCAGGCTTTATTACGACTAATTAATAATAATAATAATCACTCTGTTGCAGCCCGAGGGCGCTGAGGACAGGACGTCCGGTTCAGTTTGTGTTGTGATCTGCACAACATAAAGGTTTAATCCTCAGTGCAGAGACCCGGGTTTGAATCCGACCTATGACCCTTTGCTTTATGTCATCCTCTCTCTCTCTCTGTCTCTCTCTGTGTCTCACTCTCTCTCTCTCTGTCTCTCTCTCTGTCTCTCTCTCTGTCTCACTCTCTCTCTGTCTCACTCTCTCTCTGTGTCTCACTCTCTCTCTCTCTGTGTCTCACTCTGTCTCTCTCTCTCTCTGTGTGACTATCAGAATAAAGGTAAAAATAAAAAATCTGTCCTTTCTGCAGACGATGTGGAAACATCTACATGCTGCACTTTAATGGATCTTTATTTCATTATTATAGTATTTATTTCTTATTGATTTGAAACCTTCTGAAGCACTTAAAGTCTCGTTTGTAGCAGCAACTTCAATAAAATGTTTGTTTTCTTTAGGAGAAGTGGCTTCATGTGAATTTCTTGTCAGCTTGTTGCTGGGTTACAATCACACCTTTATGTTTTCAAGTTAAATTCATGATGTTCTTCATGTCTTTTTTTTTTTAAACTGAGGTTTGTAGTGAAATGTGAGTTCTGTGACCGTCACAACCCCTCACCCCCACGGCACATCATCACTGTGCAGCCCTGAGGGTCTGTGCTGTAGGACGGCCTCTGTGGCAAAATGTGTTTAATTATTATAGTGTGTATTCTGCTCATGTGACGACATCCTCCTCCTCCTCCTCCTCCTCCTCCTCCTCCACTGTGACCTGTGTGTCCCACCTCACTGTTGTAGAGCCACAGCCTCATGTCCTCCTCCTTGATGCGGAGCCTCTGGGACAGGTACAGGTGGATGTCCTTGATGGTGGCCATGCGGCTGAAGCAGCCCGTGTACGCCAGCACCCTCTTCAGAGGAGCGTTGGGGGACGGCACGTTACCTGTGAGGTCACACAGAGACGACCAATCACTGAACACTGACGCCGGTTTTTCTCCATCAACAGTAGATTTGAAAATCCTTCTGTGTTTTAAAAACTTTCTCAAGTCGAATCGTCTAGAGCTGATCTGTTGCTATGGCAACCGAAGCTCAAAGATGCAAACGATGACTGAGGTGTATCTGTAACAGCAGCGTTGTGTCGACTGAGGATTAGTTGTAAGGAAGCAGCAAGAAAAGGGCGTGTTCTGTCAGTCCGTGCAAACGTGATTGGTCAATCAACTCAGTGAAATCAAATACAAACCAATCAATATTAGTCCTGTTAAATCAATACAGAAGCTTCACCTGGCTCACGTTGATTACTGACAAAATGAATCATTTTAATGTCTGATTTTTGCGAGTGTCAATCAGCGTCCTGCAGCCGCATCCATCACAGACTCTGCCGTTCACTCATGACCTCTCCTCTGCACCGGACCTAATCAAATCTATTCCCAATACTCAGCCACGCGGCGGGAAAAGGTCTCAGCGCTCCGCAGTGACACGCTGCTGCTCGGACTCGGAGTGAGTCACGATGGGAGGCCGAGCTCCACCGGGGATCAGGTCTGAAAGCTGATATGTTGACTCGATTTGGAGTGGCGCTCTGCTGCGGAGAGATGACCACGTCCCAAAGCTGATTACACTCAAGTGTCTGTTTCTTCTCTCGCTGAGAGACGCTCAGCTGAAACTTTAATAATGAACATGAGTCAAACTCAGCTCCAGTTACTGGACTTCACCGCTGTTTGTCCATCTGTAAGTTCATTATCTATCTTTCTACAGACGCACCAATCTGTTGATATGAAACTGCGTTTGTCTCTCAAACAGCTAATATCTGATATGATCCTCTTCTTTCGTTTTGCGCCAGTGTTGATTGTTCTTTTGCGTCAGAGCCGCAGCCATTTTGTTTTCAGGTCGTCCGTCCGTCTCATTCTTGTTGACGTGATATAAGAAGTTCCATCAAGGTGTTACTGACAGACGGACAGACGGAAAACAAAATGGCTGCCTCTCTGTCGCCGGCGCAGAGGAGCGAAGATGAAAATGAACTTGATTCTGATTCTACTGGTTCTGATGTTTCCTCCTGACCTCATGTGGATTCTCTCTCTACAGCTGCATTTTCTTTTGAAATAACATGGGCACTTATTTTGAAATGTTTTCTCGTGTGCTTTTACTTTGTGAAGTTTTAAAGGAATAAAGATGGAAGAAGTTTCTCATGATTTTTCTCAGATTTCAGACGTTCAAAAAGAAAAAGAAACTATTTTAAATGTCCAAATATTTTTCCATATTTTAAAGGAAGAGTTTAAAGTTGAAAGGATTGATTTGTTTATTGATTATCAGAGTAGAGAGCTACAACAAGGTTTGTTGAACCGATCCTTGAACGGCAAAGTGTGTGAAGATGAAAAGTTTGGATTATTGTTTAAGCAGTCGTTCCCCTTCGTGGGCCGTTGGTTCATCCCACCGCCCACTCCAGAGCCCTGACTGCACTGGATCAGTCCACTACAGCAGGATTAAATCGGGGGTGGGGGGTGGGGGGGTGCAGGTTTGCTCGACGGCTTGCTCTGGTCTTGCTGCCGGCTTACGTTACCTCTCGCTGGGGGTAAATACGGTGGGAACATTCGCAGGCTGGTCATACCCATATTGACCCAGATGTTGGACTGTGGGGAGCGAGTGGCCGGCTGCTGGCGGAGGAAGAGGACGTAGCGGGGGAAGAGCTCCAGCTCGGCTTGGCCCGTCTTGCTCTCCAGGATCACCTGCAGGGACGAGAGGGTGGGGGGGGGTTGGGGGTGGGGGGTGTCTCCAATTTTATTATTAAATCTAAAATAAAATAAAATGTCTATACTGAAGTAAAAGTGGTGGCAATAAATATTCAGCCATTATGAAAATGAATGATGTAACATTGTGATGTAACAGAGTTTTAATAATTTTTTCTATGATTTCAGTTCATTTATATATTTAACAAAATGTACTCATCATTATATTTCTATTTTTTTGATTGATGTGTTCCATAGTAATAAAACCTTCATGTCTGACTCGTTCAGGTTCAGACACGTGAGGAGTCAACTGGAGGAGGTGGACATGCTGCTTCAAACCCTGCAATTATCCTACAATAATATTACAACATACTGTCCTGCACACCATATGAACAGACTTAAAAAAGGGGATTTAAAATCAAACGTCTAATGTCTTTTATATTTATTGGATTCACTAATAATAAATGTGAATTATCCTGCGAGTCTGACTCACACCTGACACAAGTCTGATCTTCTTGTTTTTGGATTTGCTTGTTTTTAATGTCTACAGCTTCTTTCAAAGTGTCCCGAGTTTCCTCCCTGATTTTTATGTGATCTTGATATGACGTATTTAAATCTTTCTGTTTATTCATATTAGTTTTTATTGTTTTCAAATGCTATTGTAATGTATTCCCATGCCTCTGTAAAGCATTTTGAATTTCCTGTGTCTGAACGGTGCTAAACTTCAATAAACTTGCCCTTCACAGCTTGTGTGCTGAATATGGTTCTGTGTACTCACACCTGTTGTACCCTGTCTTTAAAACTGAATTGTAATGTCACCTGACTTTTTATATTTTTTTATTTATTTATTGTTCTATTAATTTTTATTTTATTATTATTATTATTTATTTTTAATTAATTTATTTGAATTTTATTTATTTATTTTTCTATTTTCTTTTTTTTAATTTTTTATTATCATTAATTCATATTTTAAATCATAATTCTTTTATATTTTGGCAGAGACAGTGAGGTCCATCAGCTGTGTTCACTCACCGGCCGCGGCAGGCTCAGGTTGGCACCGTACCAGTGGTAGAGCGCCCGCCACACCGGCTCTGGCACCGTCTCAAAGTCTCGGCCCGGCACCAGCTGCAGGGAGCGCCTCAACCTGCCGCCCTCCATGGTCAGCGTGGGGGCCTGCGGGGGCCACAGCACAGAGAGCAGCTTTTAAATACATGTACAAAAGACTTCAATTACAGATAATAGACAGAGACGGTTTCCTAATGGAGCCTGCGGTCATTAGAGCAAAGTGCAGAGATAAGAGGAGGAGGAGGAAGGAGCGCAATCAGCTGTGTGACAGAGGAGGAGGAGGAGGAGGACGACGAATCGTTTCTTCTGTCAAAACAAAGAAGAAGCTGCCACAAATATTCCTCCGACACTCGGCTGCTTCAACGCTGCGAAGAGAAACAAGCTGCGAGTCTGGATCACATCTGGATGTTGAACACAACAGCTGTTTGACTCCTGTGAACAGAGCAGCAGCAGCTTCACTCCCCTCACATGTCAAATATACGTGAACGTGACGTTTGATCCGTGTTACATGTTCTGATGAAACCAGCAGGTTGTCAGGGTGGGAACTGAGACTGGAACAATCACACAAACAGGTGTGGTCAGTGAGGACAGGTGAGGACAGGTGAGGACAGGTGTGGTCGGTGAGGACAGGTGTGGTCGGTGAGGACAGGTGTGGTCGGTGAGGACAGTGAGGACAGGTGTGGTCGGTGAGGACAGTGAGGACAGGTGTGGTCGGTGAGGAGAGGTGTGGTCAGTGAGGACAGGTGTGGTCGGTGAGGACAGGTGTGGTCAGTGAGGACAGGTGAGGACAGGTGTAGTATTCTACCTGTATTCTGTAAAGGAGCTGGACAGTGTGCGTGGGACAATCTGCTTCTTACAACGACACATTTAATTCACTTGTCTTTGTATGTAAACACTGAGCAGGACACACACACACACGCACACACACACACACACACACACACACACACACACCTTCATGGCGTCGGTGTTGACCAGCGGCTGGTTGTCGATGGCTCCAGGTCTCTGTGCTGCCAGCTGGGAGGGGAGGTGTCCGTTGGCTCCAGAGAAACACTGGTTGTTGTTGTCGGACATGTTGTGTTGACGGGCGAAGCAGCTCTCTGTGGCAGAGGGGGCGACCTGGGGGCTCAGGGCTGGGGGGGCACAGAGGGATGATCATTTTTTATATTTAAGAAATTATCATAATCATTTCAAATTATTTATTTATTCATTATATTTCATGGCTTGTATTTTTACTTTAGGAAAGGGAGGGGCATTTGTTTCTCGTCATCATATATTTATTATGATTATTATTATTATTAATGCTGATGATAACGGATGTTGCTCTTTGTTCTCTCAATAAATACTAAATATACTTTGGAACAACAAAAGGTTTAATTCACATGAACTCGCCTCCTGTGTTTTAACATTAAAAAGAGTTAATTACCAGAAAAGAACCAAATACTTCACTGTAACGGAGCCTCTTATCTCTTTGAATGAGGGAGGCTCCGACATTATTACTGTAAATTATTAAATAAAAGCTGATATTCAACAAATGATGATAAAATCCAGTCTTTGATACAGGCCGACAAATTACTGTAATAACACTTCTCAAATAAAAACCTAAAATAAAAATTCACCTCATGTCCAGTGGCTAATGAGTGTTTTCACTCACTAATTAATTTCAACGGTTTCTACTTTGTTGTTTTTTTGATCAATTTCCAGATGAATATTATAGATTATTACATTTCCTGCAGATATTTTTATTCCTTTTATTGGTTTTGACTTGTGTCTTATTACTTTATTCATCAATTATTGGTCTTGATAATGATATAATTTATTCTTATTACTTTTTGCTGCAACTTATCAATGAATCACATACAACATCTTTTTAATCTTGTGCTTCTGGTTGTTGTTAATGTCTTATGTGTTTTATTTATTCAAATTTATTTGGATGGTTTTTAAATGCTATTTTAAAGTTATCTTAATGAATAAACTTATCTTATTTTATTCCAACTTTTTAATGGTTTTAATTTGCATGTCTTATTTATTTTTACTGGTCTGTCGTCAGTTTTAATTATTTCATTTTCTTACTGGTTTTTAATTCACAAGTATCATTTACGTGTTTGTTTTTATTGTGTTTATTTATGTTTTTTCTTTAGACTATGAAATTGTTTTTGTGGTAGCTCACGCTTTGTTCTTCCACCTGGAATTAAATGTGTTATTTAAATAAAGTTTTGTTTGCTCTTCATTAGAGCTGGAGCTGTTAAGCAGATTTGATCCATTAGTGAGTGTAAACAGCGTCTCTCTTAAACAAGCTGTTTGTGAGTGGTGCTACCGCTACATAGCTAACGTTAGCATTAGCATTAGCATTAGCATTAGCATTAGCATTAGCGGGTGCTGGTGTATAGTGTTGTATCTGACCCGTCTCTGTGGCCTCTGACGCACTGGACACAGCGTCAGGTGACCTCTCCTCCGTGGGGCTGACGGGGCTGAAGGTTCCCAGTCCTCCCAGTCCTCCCAGTCTGTCGGGCGGGGCGGGCTCGATCGTGGCCGTGGCCATGGGACTCCGCAGCGAGGTCATGATGGACGGCTGCTCCACCACGATGCCCTTATGCTCCTGGACAGGAAGACGACAGCAGGGACTGTCATTGCTTAAAATGACACCAGGGGTTAATGAGGTGTCTTACAATGGCCGCCTGTGTTTTGTGAGGTCACACTGACCTCTGACCCCCAAATTCTAATCAGCTCACCCTTGAGTCCAGGTGAATGTTTTTAACAAATTTAAAGAAGTTCCTTGAAGGTGTTACTGAGATATCTCGTCCACAAGAATGAGACGGACGGACGACCTGAAAACAAAATGGCTGCCGCTCTGACTGTCGCCGGCGCAGAGGGAATAAAAATAAAAAATGTAAAATATTCCTGTAGAAGTTTTTTGATTGTAAATTATTAGATTCTGGTGGAATCAGAACAATGTCCATGAAGATGATCCAGTTACACAAGTCAACTCACAGAACATCTGTAACATCTGTACATGACTCTGACTGACGGGACGATGGTTCTGAACAGAGACACTGTCGGTGAGACGATCAGGGGTCTGATTCTTTAGTTTAAGGTCAAAGTTAGAAAGAGTTTCAACACTTTCAAGACGAGGTGATATTTTCTGAATCCTTGTGATCAGGTGACGGACACATGTACACGTCACCTCAGAGCAGCAGACGACATGACGGGGAATCTGACATCATACGAGGACAGCAACAGTTAAATGTTCATGTTCATATAATCTCCTCCTTTATCTTTAGACTCACGTATTTGACGTAGTCCTTCCACTGCTGCCACCACAGCATCGAGATGAGGAACCAGTTCTGACCCTGCTGCAGCCCATGTCTGCTCTCCCTCTCTAACCACCCCCTACACACACACACACACACACACACACAGAGACACAGAGACACACACACGCACGCACACACACACGCACGCACACACACATACACACACACACACACACACACACACACACACACACAGAGACACAGAGACACACACACACACACACACACACACACACACACACAGACACACAGACACACACACACACAGACACACACACACAGACACACACAGACACACACAGACACACACAGACACACACACACACACACACACACAGAGAGAGAGACAGGTCATTAGGTCAAACAGTGTTCTCCTCACAGGTGTGTACAGGTGATGAGGTCGTGTACGTACCTGATGATCTGTCCCTCCTCCTCAGGTGTAGCAGGTCTGAGGCCCAGGACGATGTGACACACCTGCAGGAGTAAAAACAGGTGGAGATGAATGAACTCTGTTTCCCAGGCAGCACCAGGTGAAGCTGAACGGCTGTGCGGGTGTTCGCACCTGGAAAAGCAGGTTGAGAAACTCGTTGGCCAGAGCGCTCTTCACACTCCATATCTGGTAGTCCTCCAGGGTCAGGTGACCCAGCTGGTGAGGAGGGAAACAACACACAGGTGAGAGGTCAGAGCGAGGCGGCTCCCAGTGACGGAGCTGTAACTACAGGAGTCCTGTCTCACCTTGGTCGTGTCGTGCATCTTCAGGATGTCCTCCACTATGTCCGACACGCTGCAGAGCAGCTCCTGCAGCAACACAAATCAGCATCAATCATCATTATAATAACAATAAACTTTATTTATAAAGCACTTTTCTGAACAAGGTCACAAAGATGTTCACACAAAGAAAGAGAAAACAGACAGAAGTAAGTTCCATGAAAATATAAATTGTGCGTATCATGGGAAAATAAAACAACAACATATCAAACATTGATAAAAGCTTCGTGATAGAAGAATGTGTTTTATAAGAAGAGCTGTAAAAGACACTGATGGTGTCGCCTTGAGTCTCCAGCTGAGACGCAGATCCACAGATCCAGGCACAGAGGGGTTAATTCATTGGTTAATTAAGTCCCTGATGTAATTTGGAGCGAGGCCGTTTAAAGCTTTAGTAAGTGATGAGTAGAATTTTAAAATGAATCCAGAACATATGGCTTGGTGCTGCGAGTTGTAGCTCGGACTCATGCAGCGTAAAGTTCGTTACAACGGTCGAGAGCTGAGAAAATAAAAGCGTGACTTTATGTAAATCTGTCAGGGACCAGAACGGTCTGATGTTGGCGAATCTTTCCGGGGTAAAGCGTGACTGGACGACGTTTTTCTCTGGCAGGAAATCAGCTGACTGGAACAGGCTGCTGCAGGTTTATCAGATTTATCATTATTGAGTTTTTAAAAAGTTCATCACACACCAAACATCAAACATCAAACGTCCTCGGCTGCTGCTGCGAAAAACATCACGTCAGCTCGGCGTTGAGACGAGTTTCTTTCATGTCGTCTCGGGTTGGAAACATTCAGATCAGAAATGTTCACGGCTCAGTTCTCGGCGCTTGATGAAAGCATGGCTGACGGGCTCCGCGGTAAAACCAGTGTGTGTGAACTTACGGGGAGTGTGTCCGTGCGATTGTCCTTCCACACCTCCAGCAAGGCCACGACCATCTCGTGGAGTTCATCTCGGGACAGAACGCCATCACGGTCCACATCGAACACTTTGAAGCAAACTGGAAGCGAAACAGAAACGTGGTCATGAAGCTGCGGCTCCGTCTATTAGCAGGAAATCCAATACGTTTCCACCGCTGACAGATAACAGCTGCAGAGAGGAGACAGACTCCACTTCTAATGACAAAATGGCCGGCTGTAATTATGCGAAGCCTCTGGGGTTTATTTATCTGGGAGGACTCGAGCTTACATTTCTGCCTCTCGGCGACGGGCCCCCGGCAGCACGCAGACAGTCCACAAGAGATCTCTTTAAAGTCGATGTGATTGTCCCGATTCTCGTCAAAGGCGTGAAACAAGCCTGGGGAGGGAACGCAGGATCAATAACACAGATCACATTTATACAAAGTCTTTTCAGTGGCTTGTATTCAGAGGGAACACAGTGCAGCTCTAACCTCTGTCTTTACATAAGACTGGAACAAAGTCCGTCTCACCTTCGCTCAGTGAGGCGTGGATGGGAGGAGACACCAGCGGGACGAAGGTTTCCAGGTCAAAGCGTCCGGTTCTGGACTGGGCCTTCAGCAGCCAATAGCGTTTCTCCAAGTCTATGATGTCAGACTCCTCCACTGCAGGAGAAACAGTAGAGAAGAAGAAGAGTCAGAGAAACACCGTCGGTTCAGCGTCGTTCAGAGAGTGTGAAGCTTTTGTTTCCGTGTGGCCTCCTGACTCGTTTCCTCGTGTTCACACCAATTAACAACAAACACGATGATGTTCTGTACGAACACGACCATCACTGTGACGGAGGATCACACGTCCACGTCCGTCTCCTCTTAGTCTGTGAACCTTCAGCCCGGCAGAGACAGAGGAGACGGACGGATGAGAGTCGGAGCAGCTGTGGCATCGTAAACAGTTTGTGCTTTTACATACAGGCACCAGAGGGATGACACCGTCCGTAGAATATATCGTATTAAAGTTAATGTGAGTCACAGAGGTGAGGTGATACATGAGATAAATGAGGGATGAGGTGCAATAACGAGCAGAGGTATAAAAATACATGAAGATATAAACAGAGAGACGGGATATTCTCAGTCTGTGAGTCTCTCCTCAGACAAACACATTTTATTTTTATTCTTGTTTATTCTATAAAATGTGAGAAAACGTCCATCGATACTTTCCACAGGTCCCAAGGTTTTTGTCTTTAAACTCTAATCAAACAGAAGTGAACTCCCACAGTGCACCACATGTCACGACTTCTATTTCTATTAAACTCATTTCTGCAGGTTTCTGAAAGTTTAGCAAAATAAATTGAAATTACAAGCAGGTTTAAATAATATTTAAGACGACCCGTCAAAATCACATGATTAACGGAGCAACAGTAACTGAAGAACGTTGGTGACGTCAGTTTTTATTCTTCTCACTGTTTCCATGAATATTTCCATTTTTCTGTGTTGATCCGTCTGTTTCCTGCGGCGTGGTAAAAGTCAAATAATCAATAAGTCTATTGACACATGATGAATTAGCAACTGATCATTTAAATCACGATGCAGCTGCTACAGTTTGAAGATTTGCTTCTTTTCTGTTTCACATCGAGCTGATCAGATAAAACAAGAATGAGGAAGTTCTTCTTCAGTCTCTGGATAAACTGTTTATTATTGTTTCTGATCAATGTTCTTACTTTAGATAAAGTGTGGGAACATGTTGATATTATCATTATTAGTAGTTTTACTGTTTGTATTTGTTATTCTCTTGTTTCCTTTTTATTTTCTATTTTAATTTCCACTGTCTTGCATTATGATGTCATGTTCAGTCAGGTGGAGCTCAGGAGAAGCAGCTGCTTCCTTGATGGGGGCTGATGGGGATTAATGTGGATCCAGATCAATAAATGAATGAATGAAAGTCTTTGATAATTGAGTTGATGAGATTCTGTCACTTAATGAAGAATCAGGAAAAAACCAGCGACAGTAAAAAAGAAAACGACAAACAAACAAAGTGAGCTGCACGTGTTAACTCCAGCTGGTTGTGACCCAGTGAGGCCTGGAGTAAACACCATGGTGATGATGGTGGTGATGGTGGTGATGATGTCATGGTCTCTGTGCGGAGCTGCTGTCTGACTCATCGTGTATTGAAGTGATATGGATCAGACCGATATAGCTCATGAAGCTCTGCCAGGGTCGATGAACCGGCCTCCCCCTTCCAACATGCTAATCCGCAGCTTAAGCTAATAGGATTCAGCGGCTAACCAGCTAGCCTCTGGCGTGGCGCCCTCACATATGACAGGTGTCAAAACACAGGCAGGACGCACAAATTAAACGGCAGGTGATTCCTGACAGGTATCGACCGAGTCGTGTTTTTACAACAAAACCAACTTCCTGAGTGTTTGTTTCTCAGCTTCTCTGAAGGGATGAAGATGAAGCAGCACCCTGAGGAGCTGTCTGTCTGTCTGTCTGTCTGTCTGTCTCTGACTGTCTGTCTGTCTCTGTGTCTGTCTCTGTGTCTGACTGTCTGTCTGTCTCTGTGTGTGTGTCTGTCTGTCTGTCTGTCTGTCTCTGTCTGTGTCTGACTGTCTGTCTGTCTCTGTGTCTGTCTGTGTCTGACTGTCTGTGTCTGTCTCTGTGTCTGACTGTCTGTCTGTCTGTCTCTGTGTGTCTGTCTGTCTGTCTCTGTGTCTGACTGTCTCTGTGTCTGTCTTTGTCTCTGTCTCTGTGTCTGTCTGTCTGTCTCTGTGTCTGTCTGTCTGTCTCTGTGTGTCTGTCTGTCTGTCTCTGTGTGTCTGTCTGTCTCTGTGTGTCTGTCTGTCTCTCTGTGTCTGTCTGTCTCTGTGTGTCTGTCTGTCTCTCTGTGTGTCTGTCTGTCTCTGTGTGTCTGTCTGTCTCTGTGTCTGTCTGTCTCTGTGTCTGTCTGTCTGTGTCTGTCTCTGTGTCTGTCTGTCTCTGTGTCTGTCTGTCTGTCTCTGCGTCTGTCTGTCTGTCTGTGTGTCTCTGTGTTTGTCTGTCTGTGTCTGTCTCTGTGTCTGTCTGTCTGTCTCTGTGTCTGTCTGTCTGTCTGTCTGTCTGTCTGTCTGTCTGTCTGTCTGTCTGTCTGTCTGTCTGTCTGTCTGTCTGTCTGTCTGTCCACCTCCCCTCCAGGTTCTGATTCCCAGGAGTCCAGAGGTGAACATCAGGGCAGGTGACCCAGGTCTGACTGGGGAAGCACTCAGTCGCCTCTTCGCTGCTTCCTGCCGCAGACGTTTGGACGTAAACAGACTGAGAGGCAGCGCTGAGAGCGAGATGAATGATTTACAACGTAAAGACGAGCGTATGGACGCGGCGGGGAGCGAGGAAATCATCTGACCGCATAAATTATTGAGGAAGATGGAGCGAGCGGCGGAGACTACCTTCATGTCTCCATGCTAACTCCACAAAAAAATGGAGGGAACAGCAGCAGCATCGTTTTAAAATGTGTCACAAGGAGGAAAATAAAAACATTAGTGTTTGTCATGTTGAACATTTCTAATGACAGCTGGCTGTTTTTCTACAAACTTCATCATCTGTTGTTTTTTGTACCAATGTATGGAGTTTATGTTACCCCCCCCCCCCCTTTATTTATCTCTCTATTTATTTCCCTGCTCTGGTACCTTTGCTTCTGTACCTTGGTAACGGCTCCTGTCTGTGGGATTATTTATTATTTTCACTCGTTGAATTTTAAAATCTTTAGGATTGTGTCAGACTTTAAAATCTCAGTTGGTGGAGACTTTTCCTGGAATATTTTCTAAATCTTCAGTCAATTAAAGATTAATTTCCTCTTTTTTTTTAATCCTCTCCTTTCTTATCGTTTTATTTCCTCTGTCTTTCTTTTCTAAATGCAGAACCCGACTTCCAGCTCTTCGGGTTGAAGGGGTTCAAGTTGCATGTTGTGCTGTTACTGAGTATATTACACAGTACATATTGTATATATTGGTACTTCAGTGCTACACTGACACTCCCTTTCTACTAGTTTATCAGAACATACATTCTGTCAGATACTTGACCCAAGTGTTTCTATCACAACTCTCAGAACAACCTCAGCTCTTTCTCTGTCGACACCAAAAAAACATTATTTGGCCCAAAAGCTGAAAAACAAACCTTTACTGATGTGGATGAATTGAAACGTGTTCACCAAAGTCTTAGGTTCATAACAATAGAGCAGCACGTGAGTAAAATCGAAGATATATGTAGAATAAATGCCTAAACTGAAAAGTGTTGTCTGTCTCTTCCAGCTGAGTCACGTACGATCAAGAATACCAAACAGAAAGTGGAGAGTGAACGGACTCTGAACACTTGGTGTTCACAGAAACATCCGTCGACCTCAGAGGGTTAAAATCAAATAAAAAGATCTTGAATAAATAAGATTTCAGTCCTGTAGTCCAGTCCAACAGATGCTAAAGCATCTTCAGTGGAATCCATCAGTGGAACATGAGCTACAGACAGAGGCAGAGATCTTGAACAGAAGCAACATCATCATCAGAGTCGCTCTGACCTGCAGGCGAACGACACTGATACAGATTCTTTAAAAAGAGCGACACGCCTCACACCGAACAGCTGATACCAAATGTAAACTGTCTCCACACAAGCAGCCATTCAGGAGATTAATAAATGCAATACAGTGTAATTTCAGCAAAGAAAATATGATATAAATCAGGAATCATCTGATAAAAAATACAAACAGAGAGTTCAACAGTCACACAGGTGTTCCCCAAAAACCTTTGACATCTCTCATACTCACAAGCCTAACAACGAAGAACATAAATTCTTATTCATTTCTCTTTAAATTCTATATAATACCATAATAAAACTAATTAGATAAGTGACCTGACAGAGCTCCAACTCAAACAAACCACCAACATCAGTCTCAAGCTAACTGACATTTAACAACAGAACAACAAACTCCTCCCGTCTCTATGGTAACCACACTGCTGGGCCGGTACCCACCTAGAGGTGCGACTCTCTCCGAGTGGCAGCAGAGATACCATACCATTATCCAGGGAACATCCTTGAAGAGGTGTTGCCACAGCCGGCATGTGTCATAGTAAACTCCCTGCAGCAGCCGCCGCCATCAGAAGCTACGTCATCGCCACCAGGCGCCGGTTTCTCCCTTTTCCCTCCTTTTTTTTTTTTTTTTTTTTTTTAAAAAGTATTTATTTTTAAACTGATGATAATGTGACAGAGTCAGAGGCTAACACGTTAGCATAGCGCTCACCCGGCGATCAGCTCCGCCATTCGTCAATCTTAGCGTTCCCCTTCTGGACAGGAGTCATGAACCAGGAGTGTGTCAATCACTCTCTCTCTCTCTCTCTCTCTGTCTCTCTCTCCCACACACACACACACACACACACACACACAGAGTTAAGAGGATAAGCCGGGAGAAGGCAGATTAAAGGGCAGTGTCCACGTTCTCAGGCTCTTTCCAGCTCTCTGTCCTTAATTGGCAAAATAAAGCCTGGCTAAATTTACTTGGCCTGAAAGTGTATAACTGTATGTTTTTTTTATTCTCCATGTGCCGACTTTAAAATGTGTACGGCTCTGAACACTCAGACTTTCTATGATAAATGCTCTAATGAAGACGTAGAAGTTGATATAATGTCACACACTCAAACATGAAGAAGACACAATCCACAGATATCGTTTCTGATCTGAGACAGAGGACATGTAGATTAAAGATTTGTGTGTGTGGTTTATGTGAGGCTGGGGAATTCTCAGCTGGTTCCGTTTGTGTTGATGATATCGCTGATCGACGATCATCAAATGTGAAGACCACATTTGACTTGTTCTCTAATTAATGTAGCAACTTATTATTTGTAGTATTAAATTAATAATAAATGTAGTTTGGTCACTCCTCTTAACATCACGTAACACATGTAACGTAACCCCCCCCCCCCGATCAGATCAGAGTGGCTGGTAATGTTTTTATCTTGTGTGTGTGTGTGTGTGTGTGTGTGTGTCACCATGGTAAGACAGACACCACCTGTATTAGGAACTACCACAGAGGTGTTTAAATGGCTGTCTGACATATTTTTGTCACTATGATCATCATGTGTCATGAAACTTTACAGGTGTGTATTTGAGATTTAAATGAAGTATAAGTACTAATGTAATAATGTAGTAATAACTATTGAGTACTCTGTTGGAACGTCAACATGTTGATCAGTGTCTGTGATCCAATCACAACTTGTTCTCTAGTTTCTCAAAAACCCTTAAAAAAATAAAATAACAAAAGAAGGTGAAAATCTCAGAAGTTAAATTGTCTTGACACAATAACTTTGGCTTATTAGAATAAAACTGGCTCAAATTATTATTTTCACCAGTAACTACGTATGTGACCAAAGAATAAAGAAACATGGTTCCACATCTGATCAGATATTTGATGCTGTGTTTGCAGACTAACAAACAGATCAGAGGTCTGATACTTAAACCTACTCAATTCTGAAATTATGTTTTATTTTGAAAACTCTGGGGTTGTGTTTTATTTTGGAAACTTTGGGGGGTTGTGCTTTATTCTGAAAACTCCAGGGTTGTGTTTTATTCTTAAAACTCTGGGGTTATGTTTTACTTTGGAAACTCTGGAGTAATGTTTTATTTTGAAAACTCTGGGGTTGTGTTTTACTTTGGAAACTCTGGAGTTATGTTTGATTTTGAAAACTTTGGGGTTGTGTTTTATTTTGAAAACTCTGGGGTTGTGTTTTATTCTGAAAACTCTGGGGTTGTGTTTTACTTTGAAAACTCTGGGGTTGTGTTGTAGTCTGGACAGAAAGTGAGACCTTTGTAAACGATGAGGTCACAGCCACGGTCTCTCCTGATTGGCTCTCATCAGCCTGGACTACCAGTGGTGATACAACATGATGATGAATGACTGTGTTACTGACCTTGTTGTCTTTGCAGCTGTTGTTCACTTACATTCTCTGTTTTAATGCTACAACTGCAGAGGAGACAATCTACTTCCTGTTTACACCGGCTCGCACATGCTCAGTGTAGGTTATGGTCATGTGATGTGTGTTTTTAGAGAGAATATTTTAGAGAGAGGGAGGTATAACATGGAACAAAGGCCCACCTGAGACGAGTTCTGTTATCTGCCTGTAACCAACACACACACACACACACACACACACACACACACACACACACACACACACACTGTGTGTTCTGTATACTGTGCAACACTAAATTTGCTCCATAAAAGTGCAGAATGAGAGGAGACCGGCTGTAAACAGGTTGAGCAGCTGAGTCCAGCAGCTGCACCTCGGGTCCACAGGAGCCGTTTTCACCTCATTATCACCTGCACTTTCCCACCAGAGGAATAGTTGGTCATTTTCCACCCGGGTTGGAAATTTAACACCACAGTCAAAAGCCGTTTTGTCAGCAATGTTATTTTGAAGGAGACAGCTCTGTCGGTTGACTTCCTGTACACTGACGTTAAATTCAGTCTTTCACCGACAAAGAACCAAGAAGTTTAATAGAAGAAATTGAGACTAGACTCACGAGGAAAACATATTAATCTAACAACTAGAATCACCTGGTCGTATCCCTCCGCCACTCAGACTAGTTCCACGTCACATCCCTGTTTATGCAGAAATACCTGAAATACCGACCTGAAAACAAAATGGCTGTCACTCTGACTGTCGCCGACAGGAGGAATAAAAACAACCTGGAGATGAATGAACACCATCCACTGCTTCTAGTCATTCATACGTTCATCCTTAAAATGAACTCATCTCAAACACACGTGTCAGAGTCGACACCGTCGTATTTAACCGGAGCAGTCTGAGTGACGCTGAGTGCAGCGAGAGAGGAAATGAAGAAGAAGAGAAACCTGAGTGAAGGAGCGCTGGGATAATGAAGAAGAAGAAGAAGTGAGTGAGAGGAGGAGAGTGAATGTGATCAGTGAAGCCTGTCAGTTACTCCTCAGAGCACTCACTGCCACTGATGGAGGAAGAAAAAAAACTGCAGCATATAAAAAATGCATCACAGCCATTTGTGATATTTCTTGAGACATCTGCACTTTACAGGGGGGGGGGGGGGGGGGGGGGCTGCTTCACATCAGAGTGAAACACACATCTGGACTGAAGCTACTCTGAAGGGATTTTTAAGTCCTGGTCTCGGAGTTCGGACCAAAAGTTTAAAAATAAAAGTACAAATTTAAAACAGCTTTGATGAGGGAGATATTTAAAGACCACAGTCGGCTCCTCTGCAGCTTCTGTTTATTCTAAAATAGAGACAGAACTGGACCTTTATTTCAAACTGGCATATTAATAACAGGTATTTCAATATTAGTTATAGTGTCTTTATAGGTGTATCATATTTTTTGTAAGACGCCTCCTTTGATGTTTTCGCAATCTCAACATTTCCTCCATGTTTACCTTTAATCTTAGTAACTTCAACATAATTTCCTTCCATCAGTACAACAGTCACATCACGCTGTGAGTTTCATGTGTTTCTGTTTTCATTCATTAACTGCAGTCACTTCCACTTTGCTGTTTTTTTGACTGGTGCCAATGAAAATCAGCACTTCCTGTTCAGATGTTTTGCAATAAAAGCCACAAGTTCCAAGTCCATAATCTATCTTTCTCCTAGTAGGGCTTTTAATGTGTAAATGAGTCACTAATTAAATCTTAGGAGTGTAAAACGTTTCCATTTCCTGGTAGACTTTGTGTTTTGTCGACGAAGCTGAAGCAACTGCAGCTTTTCTGAAGATTGGCTGTGACTGAGTATGAACACATTTTGCTACGTAGACAAACAGACAGATTGCGTGTTGATGGACTCACAGTGCGTGACGCCGGCCAGCGTCTGGTAGAAAGTGGGCGTGTCGCTGTCATCGGTGAGCGTGACACACACTCCTCCAGACAGAAGCCACCGGGACAAAGTGAAGGCCTCCTTGTTCTGCAGAAGCCAGTTCCTGAAGCGCTCATAGTTCACCTTGTCGCCCTGTCACCACACACACACACACACACACACACACACACACACACACACACACACACACACACCACCACACACACACACACACACACACACACACACACACACACACACACACACACACACACACACACTATTATTAGAATCTGTATTTTCTCAAGTGTTTTCCTGTCACGACGCTTGAACAGAGTTTTAAATGATGGTGGATTTTGTGCTGAAATGATCAGTTAATTGATTTATTGATCGATCTAAAAAACTATTCATTGAATTCACCTTTTGTCAATCAATTGTCTGAGTCATTTGTCAGGTTAGAGTGCACGAGCTTCTTTGCTTCCAGCCTTTTAAATGTGAGGATTTACTGGTTAATCAGTTTCATTATAATCTGAATAATTTAACGTTTCAGTTGCACAAAAACAAGTCATTTGATTGGTTGCTCTGGGATGCTGTAATTTTATTATTTATTCTGAGATTTCATTAACATAATGAAAATGAATTAATTGAAAAAAGAATTGATGGATTAATCAGTGAAAATAATTTGTTAGTTGCAGCCACAGACTGAAGCAGGGGACTAAAGATCCTGGTGCAACCGTCAACAAAAAAACAAAAACAAGGAAGTGTAATTAAAAATAATAATAAAGGACAACAAATCTTAATGTGCAGCAGTTCATACAAACACATGGCTTCTTCTTTTTTTAAATACGTTCATCTAGTCTGATTCAAAGTAAACAGAATGAGTGTTGGGGTGGGACTTTCAGAATAAAACAAGGTCAAAGAGCAAAACAGACTTTGCTCCAGCTGAAGGTGAAAGCTGCAAACAGTCGACAGACAGGCTGTTTAAGCTGAGGCAGTATGGGTCTGTTACAGCTTCACAGCTGGAGGAATACGAACCAAACACAATTTGCTGCTGTGGCTTCAAATTAAAAGACTTTGAATTTGCAAAACACGGGCAGCTTTTATTATGAAGCAGTCACAGGAAACAGACTGCAATCATTAAAAATAAAAGAAGAAAAACTGTTTTGTTTTGGTTTTTTTAAATATGATGTAACACTTTGAAAAAGAGTTTCCCACACTCGTTTGCAGTGGGTCGTGATTTGAGAGGCTCTTTTGTGTTTTAATAACCAGAACAATGACTCGCTGTGAAGCCAAACTTTGTATCATCTCTGTGGAGTCGGCTCCACGTGGGAAGCTCGTAACAATGGCTGTTTTATGATCATGTGACAAACACCTCTGTGAAGCTAAAAACAAACTCAGCGATACGAGCCAAGAGGAAAACGTGGGAGATATTCAAGACAGTCCAGTGGTCAGTCTGCAGTGGTTCAGTTAGTAGAGACTTTCACTAGTGTGTGTGTGTGTGTTGTCTGATGTGTGTCCACGTGGTGACAGACAGGATGTGGCGTTTGCTGACCTCACTGAAGCACTTCTTGAGGGAGGTCGGAACTTCTCCATCCAGGACCTGCAGAACCGCCTCGATATCTTCCCTGGCAGCGTATCCACCCAGATCACTGGCAAACAGGCTGAAGAGGTCTGTGAGAGCGCACACACACACACACACACACACACACACACACAAACACACACACACACACACACAGAGTCAGAAAAGCTTTATCACAGGAAGGCAGGCCTCCTGCATGTAGCAGCACTGAGGACAATAGAGGCGACGGAGTCGATAAAGTCCTGATGGATTAGACTTCCTGCGTCAACCAACAACCAGAATATGAATGAGGAGGAGGAGGAAAGAAATGAAGACAAGAAAAAACAGTTTAAAGCTCCATATTTTCTTCTTCTTCTGTGTTTTATTTGAGGTGTTGATCCATAAGAGGATATAGTTGTGGTTTTAAGAACCAAAAACCACCTCAGTGTAATTTTACATCTCCTCTCTCAGGCTTCTCTGTGGAGCCAATCAGAAGAGGGGAGGCTCTGAGCCTGTCTTCTGATTGGCTGACTGTTTTCTGAGTGATCCTGAATGGCTGAGGAAAATAAGTGACAGAGTGAAGTCCACCTTAACCCTCCTCCCACTGGGTCTCACTCATTCATGTGGTGTTGGAATAAAAGGAAAAATGAGTTTCCCACTGGGAAAGTTCACGAGTCGGCGGAAAGTTTTGGTGCACGACTTGCTAAATTATTGATGTCATCTACACAGAGACACGGTGGATGAAAGTAAATGTTGATGGTGAGAAACTCTAAATTCATATAATGCATTTCAATTTAACTTAATTTAACATTTAATTTGTAATATTGTATTAGCTGCCGTCAGTTTCTGACCTTCAGTTATTTATCATCCTGATAATAAGAAACACAAAAAGTGGAAACAGCATCAACATGTTTCAACATCTTTCTGTTGTTTCAACATTCTGACTTAAAAGCACAAGAACACACCAAAGTCACAAGAACGACTTCCCAACTGGGGAAATAGGAACATCTGAGGAGCACCTGAATGCAGCATTAGTCACACACACACACACACACACACACACACACACACACACACACACACACACACACACACACACACACACACACACACTCTGGGCTCTGACAGTGTGAGGTGATTGACAGCGGGAGCATCTTCAAGCTTTGGATGGGTGTGAGTCATCAGTACAGAAGATGAGGAAGTTAACTACGATTCCCAGGAGGCATTTTGATGATGAGAAACATCCAGTAACAAAGTGAGTGAGAGCTGGAGATTATTCTCTGTTGAAACACAACAACACTCAGCAGCTTTAATCCAATTCTGGAACAATTCAGCAGCAACAGTGAAGCGTTTTGTTTCCAACTGCAACAGCAGCGCGTCTCTGACCGGCTTCTACCCTGTAGCTACAGAGGCAAAGGCTCATGGGTATTATTTAGAGCCATCCACTGAACCACATGGATATAACAGAAACATAATTTCACAGCAAAACAAAATTGAAATTAGTAAAAAAAAAAAAAAAAAGATTTCTTTTGTCTCAATACACAGACAGAAGTGGATGTCAGTGGATGCAGGAAGGAAACACCTGGAGTCTGCAGGTGTGACTGTGGCGAGAAATTATATCAGGACTTCAATAATTTGATTCATTCTTAAATTGACTATTTATTCATTTTATTATGTTCAAAGCAGATTCTTTTCTTCTAAAGACGTGTGACAGTTAACAAACGCATCACTTGGTCATGGAGGAGTGAAGACCCCGCCTCCCGTCTCCGTGTGGTGTGGAGACATTTCCTCATACATGGCATCATAAATAAATAAATAAATAAATAAATAATAGTTATCTTTGGTATTTTACTCCTGTGTTTTCCCTTGTCGACTGCTCTGTATGTTGGAAATTTCAATAAATAAATGGTTAAAAATATAAAAAGACATTAGAAGGACAGTTGGAGACGACAGACTCGACATATGGAGGAAACAGCATGAAACCAGCACAGCACATCAACACAGACCGCTCATTAACAACTTACATTTGGCCTTTTCCTCATCGCGCCCTCGCGTCAGAAGCACCAGACCCACGATCAGATTGTTGAAGTGCAGCCCTTTAGACGAGCCTCCAAACGAGGTGTAAATAACCTGGAACACACAGAACGAGCAGAGTGAAGAAACGTGGACAGACGTCACACTCGCAACAGATGAGGTACAGCACAGTCGATCAAATCACAAGATCACTCTGGTTGTTGGAGAATATGTTTGTTCAAGAATTATGTTTTTGGTTCAAAGTAAAATCTGCTTTTGTCTTTCTTTCTCCTCCCGACCCACACACAAAGAAACATGAGCCAATTTACAACCTACAGGAACTGAAACCAGGGACGAGAGAGACGAGAGGTTTAAACAGAGAGGAAATGGGAGAAGAAATGGGAACTGGATTTCCTTTTCAAGAATTTATAAATGAACAGTTAATCCATCAATGAATACTAAAGATTTAAAAATGGATTCAGAAAAACAACTTAAAACATTGATTAAATGAACCATTTATAAATACACTTATTAATGAAAGCTCTGGAGAGTAACCAGAGTGTCACAGAGAGGCTAACAGGAGAAGCTAAATCACTAAGCTAATCTATTAGCTAATAGGAAAAGGAAAAGTAGCAGGAAAAAAGGGAAATGGAAATTGAAGAGGAAATCCCCTTTTTAAATAGTTTTTCAAATTGTATTATTCATTTATTCATGAATTAAAAAATGTATTTATAAAAATGTTAAATATTTATTGATGGATTATTATTATTTGTTTATAAATTCTTTTTCCTGTGTTTAATGCCTATTAAAATATGAAATTAAGGAAGTGCTTCATAACTTTTCATATGTACACGCATGTATTGTGTGTGATGTGCCTGTCGACCGTGGAGAGGTGACTGTGCAGTCAGGGAGCTGGTGAAGCGTATCCATGGCAATGGGTCACACACAGCTGAGATTCACATGTAATTAAAAACAAAACTAAAAAAAAAAAAAAAAACAGGAAGTGAGTCATACTATTCAAACTAAATCCACTACCAAACTTCCCCTGCTGCTGTTTATCCACTACTGTTTTTTAATAATGAAACTAAAAATAAACACTGTCGCATCACCTTCTTCCTCATTTAAACATTTCAGAATAAAAGTAACACATCTAAACAATAAATATAATAAAAATATAGTGATCTGTTTATTCAGATGTCTCATTGTGTATGAAATGTTGCAGGAAAATACATTACTACTGATAATAATAATAATAGTAGTAATAATGATCATTTCTGACATGACAACCATGTAAGATTGTGTTTTATCCACAGAGCTGAACGACTGTGTCGCTGCAGAATCAGTCATGAAATAGTTTGATCAATATTCATTGACAACTAAAATCATTTACATGTATACTCCGACCTCTGCTTCTTTGATTTGAACCTTTTTTAAACCGATCCAGAGCAACAAAACAAACAAACAAGCTGTTGACTCTGAAGCACAGTCTTTAGTTAGTTGCTTGATTTTTCCAAACCACACTCACACAGTGTGAAACGTGTGAGACGTGACACTTTATACAGAGAGATCACCTCTCATGTTCAAGCAGCCGCTCGCCCACGGTCTGACAGTGCGCTCACGTCCCAGGTGATGGCAGCATCTCTTCTGTCACAGAGTCTCAGTCACAAAGACACAACACAGGGATGTTCTGACTCAAAATGTATTTGTATCAGGAGACAGGTGACGGCTGCGCAATAAAACTTTATCAAATACTGTTCTTTTTTCTTTAATAAAAGAAGAAGTTTACAAGTTAGATTTTTTATTTTATTTCAACACCAAAAGTGAACTTGATTTTTCAACATTCCTGCTTCAAACTGTGTTTATTTAATAATGATGTGATTATTTATACGTGTGTATTTCCCACAGGTTGATCATTTCCTTGTGCTGGTGGCGCCGTGTGGGGTAATAGAGGGAAAGCCCGACCTCTCACTCACAGCATACACTCTCTTTAACTCTTTTACAGAAAGCAGCTCAGGTTTGTCCCAGACATCGTTACATTTTTTGCTAGGTGCTTTTTGGGAAAAAAAAGAAGAAAAAAAAAAAAAAGAACCTAACTAAAGGGTCTGAAACGTCTGTAAAACACTGGCTGAACCCGCCCCCTGATGATGTAATAGAAACTGTTCACACCAAATCATTTACAAATCATTTCCCAATGGGGAAACTCCAGCACTCAGCCAGTCGACCAAAGTTGTAACTTCATCACTCAGTCAGTCGTGTTGATACGCTTGGCCCAGATGTTATGGTCCAGCTGTGTGGGCTGAATTTTGTAACACTTGTTATTTACATTCATGCTCCTACACACATTTCAGAGTTGACACGCGTATATTTTTAGTCTGAAATTTTAACCTGAATGTGGAATCCACCTGAAACTCTGGGGAAACCCCTGGAGCTCCAAAGTCAGACTGTACTGCTGCTCGTCTGTCCTGACACAGATCTAATTATGAAGCAATGTTAATGCATTAACTGTTCCATCATATTTGCATTCAGGAAGTACACATCTACTTTCAAGCTGCTGCACACAGGTCAGTGAGTGTTGTTCACTGGGTTAACCTACCAGAGAGAGACGAGGTGAACGGTTCCTTTTTATGCGGAAAAACCGAACCGTAAATCACACATTTTGACCTATTCTGTCACCTGAAGAGTTTGTGTATGTACTGTCCCACAGAAATAAAGGGACAAGCCAACATTAAGTGTCTCAGTAAGGGGTCGAGCCTCAGTGCTGCTTGTCAAAGTGTGTGAAACTCAACAGGACGGATCAACAGTTTTGATAATAAAGGTGGAGAGAGTGTGTCCGAAGGCTGTCACAGGAGTTCAGCTGTGTTGTCTGGACGTAGCATGTTATTCACATCATCCTGGGGAACTTTTATGTATTTAGAAATAATAGGTTCTGGAAAAATACCTTTTTACCGTTCACATTTTGAATGACTATGTGCTGAAAAGCTGAATGTCCGACTGCATCTCTGTAAAATAACCGGCTCTAAATTTGGACAATCAGCTCCATTAACTCCACAAACAAATCCTTTTATAACAAAGGTTCAGTGCTGCTGAAAGCAAACCAGAGCTGTACCCACTTCTAGGTAATTGTATCAATTTAGGATCTATTGTTTTTGCTCAGGTTTATTATTATTATTATTATTGTTATTCTGACAGATTTGCTCAGATTCCTGTGAGCTGGAATGAGCTAGAAAAACAAAACTTGGCAGAACGACTGGAAATCATGTGCAGCAGCTTCCCAAGTAATATGAGCTCAACAGGCCAGATAGTGGCGCTGTACTTCAGGATTAACTACGCCCCACACCGCTGGTCTGATTGACTTGAAATTTGACACGAGTCCAGCTCAATGTGCTCTACAAGCAAGTCAATCAACCCATAAAAGTCCATTTGGGAATTCTCTTTGCTAATTTGCATAATTTGTATTTAGGGGACTGAGAGACACATTTAAATTATAATGCTGCGCCATCAACCAAAACATCTTCACAGGACGGGGCTTAGCTAAAATATAGGCCATTAACCATTTGTCCAATCAAGATAAAACTTGTGTGACACATTAGTTTCATGCTTTGTTTTGAAACTATGTTAAATTTCATCGTTCCTATTAAATAAATAAATGAACTAAACCCAGTCCACGTGTCAATCTGTAAACAGTATTATAGATCATATTTATTCACGTTGTGATGCATTTATTTAGACACTTTATTTTACATTTGTTCAAACTGTTTGGATCGTGAACGTTTACCCACAAATCTCTGTAGATCTTCATATGTAGATCAGATAACACACATTCTTCACCATTATTACAGTGAATCTTCTCCATATTTTGTTGGTGTAAATCATGACTGTCTTTGACATGACGCCGTCTCGATCTCTTTAGGTTTCTGATGATGTTGTGTAATGTGTGATTTCCCTCAGTGGCGTCTGTGTGACTCTGGAGAAGCTGGACACGTTCAGTTTTGTGGAGCGTGTGTTGATTTGTGATGCTGTTCAGTCAATAACACATTGAGTCTTCGTGAGAAAGTGCTGACGGGGATCTACTTCCTGTTTGATCAACGAATGTCCTCTTCACATTTCATTGCGTTTGCAACTGATGCAGCAACTTTTCAGGCAGCCACTCCTTGTAAATCTACTTTAAATTAACGCTCCAGCATCCTGCTAAAGAAAGATCAGTAAATCCAGCTGTTTAGAGACGCAGCAGTTTCCTGTTTGAAACTCTGATTCTATTTTTATCCAACACAAATAATCACAAGAAGAAGAAGAACGTAGTCAAACACAAGATGGATGTAGTTTTTGTTTAAGTGCTGCAGAGATCTGAGTCTTGACTGATTGAACACACTGTCTTTGAACTAACCGAATGCGCAGCAGCCGGCAGTAACCTCACATCTGGATATCTGTCACCGCAGTAACCGCTGCCATGGCGACAAAGGAGAAGAAGAAGAGGAAAGAGAAAGACGCTGAGAGAAAAGAGGAGGGAAGACGTGTGAGTGGTGCTGAATGAAGCCAGCTCAGTGTTTAAGGATTCTGGCAGCAGATGGAGGAAGGACAGGATGAGCAACACTGCTCTGAGTCCAAGTCCTGGTTTCACCACGGTCTGCACAAACCCTGAACTCAGGATAAATATGCAGACTCTCCCACAGTCTAACCGTGCTCTGCCTCACATGAAATCCAGCCGCCTCCACAGAAGTCACAGTGCATTATTCTACTTTTACAAAATAGAGGTCGAGGTGCTGAATCACAGCAAACCCTCATGTTTACACTGTAACTAAGATCTGTCTGATAAGATAAGAAAAGAAAAGAAAAGATAAGAAAAGATAAGAAATGATAAGAGTGTCCGAGACCTCACTAGTTCTGTATTAAATCTAAGGAAAAACTAAGCAAATATTCATATATAACTATATATTCATTTACAGCGATCAAGGGTTTCCAGTGAGGGAGAAGGAGCAGGTTTGATTTCAAGAACTTTTCGTAAAGGTAAATTAATGTTCCTTGACAAACTATATCAGACACAAATTATTATTCACAGCAGAGTCTGAAACTACTGAAACATTTCATGGAAAATTAAGTTATTAAAGTAGAAGTTTCTGGCACAACCTCACCTACATCTAAGGTGCACAGAGGGAGGAAAAAGTCTGAAGAGGTCAAACCTCCAGCAACACTCGCAGGATACAGGAGAACTCTATTATTAGACCGACACATTTCAGCATCATAGGACGACCCTGATGAGGGCCACATGTTTTAAATTAAGTTTTCATACTCTCTTTCTGCTTCTCCCTAAATCACAGCGCTCACACAGTCCGACCTCCTCCTCAACGTTTCTGAGTCTGTCAACAAACAGCCAGAGAAACGACCACACGTGTCCAACCTGACATCGACTGTGGGTGAACAGCTGAGTCAGCCTCCATCAGCTGTGTGAGGGGAACGTGAGGCGCTGGATTCTGGATGTCGGCCAGAGATGTGCATGATGGGAATTTAGGCGTTATATTTTGTCGTATTGTTTTAGACAACATCCTCTGCTCCAAGTTGAAATCATTTGCTTTCATTTAGAGCTTCATCACTGGCAGAAATTAATTTATTCAAAGCAGCATTTTCAGATATTTGTTCCTGTTAGTATTTTCACAATAAGAGGTTGAAGGACCTGGATTCAGTCCAAAGCATCGTTGGCTATTCTTACTACCACTCTGACTGACGGCCCATCAGGATCGATCCCTGGCCGTCTGACGTCCGGCCCCATCTCGCTCTTTCAACAGGAAACACATTAGGAACATTAAGGAAGTCGTGATGCCTTCACATGATGGACCTGTAAGTCCTCATTCAGCCACATCCATAAGATTCATGACTAAAACTATGTGACGCACTAAACCTGAAATGTTCATCCACTTTCTTTTCATCAGAGTTATAAAGTCTGTTCACATGGTTCCTCTTTATAAATCTCACTCACACGTGAACGAGCCTCATTTCCACTCCCACTATTCTCTCATAAAGACTCTCCCTTAATCAATCAGTTTGAATAAAAACAAGTGATCAGACCCAGAGAAGAAGCAAACTGAGGTAAAAACATCCTCAGTTACTGTAGAATCTGTGTCACTCTGAGCTTCATTTACAGAGTGTTAACGAGGCTCCAGAGGCTCCGACACTGAGATCAGTCAATATTAAAATAGAATCAAACATTTACACGACTCACAATCAATAATCAGATATTAAACACAAACACAATTAATTCAGTTCATGAACTTATAATGAGGATAATGAACGAAGCACCGTGAAGTTGGTTGATTTATTTTATGTTAAATTACGCGTCTCGTTTTATTTTGTATTTTCTCTGTAACTTGGATCTCTATGGAAACCGTGTGATCACATGGTCACAGGAATGAGTGAAGTGTTCATTAAGTGCGGACACATCATTCAAGCATCTGGCCCCTGGACTCTGAGCTGGGTCAGACTCTGGGGTTATTAAGGATCAAGCTCCGGGACCTGATCTGGATCTCTCCTTGATGATTGGCATTTAATTAAAGGAGAACGACACAGACTCCAGGTTTCAGCCCCGGCGCTGCATCATCCTCTGCCAGGAAGTCGTGGCTGTAACGGTAAAGTGTCGCGTCTCCCTCAGAGTCATGTCACACAGACTGTGGTTGGTGCGTCTTACCTCTGCCACTTTAGGGGGAACTCCATCGCCCAGCACCTCCCTGTAGAAGCACTGCTGGGTCATGTAATAGGAGAGGCCGCTGGTCCTCTTGAAGGCATCCTTCAGCCGTTTCAGTTCCACATCAGTGACTGCACAGAGCAGATGACAGAGGAGAGATAATACATTTAAAGTTTGTTCAGCAGCTGTTTATAGAGTCTGTGGGTTGGTGTCTAAATGTGTGATATCACAGTGTGTCTTTGTTTCTCTGTGAATTAATGAAAAATAAAGAAGAATCATCATTTATAATCCATCTTTCTTTTTCTAAATCTGAAACATGAAACAACAATATTCAGTTAAAATGTTTTCAAATGTGATTTTTGAAGCTTTGTGCACGACAGTCCAGATTCTATAGATTCCTCGTATGTGAAAACCTACTTTACGTTCTGATTCTGAAATTATTAATTGAACTAATTCCTTAATTAAAACACACCAAAGATTTACTGAATTACTCTGCTCTGATTCCAAGAAGTATAAATAGGATTTTGGATTTTGGACTGATGAGACAAAACCAGCGATTTCAGTCAAAACTGGCAAAATATTATTTGTTTTTACATTTTACAGCTTAAATGATAAAGACAATAACAATATTAATAATAAGCTTCATCTTTGTAGCATCTTTCAAAACACAGTGACAAAGTGCTTTAAAAGACAAGATGAAATTGAGGACAAACAATAAAAATGAATGATTAAAAAACTGATCCAGAATCAGTTTAAAGGATCCACAACATAAACTAATTGTTTAGTAAAAATGAAATAAAACTGTCTAAAATAATTAAATGAATTGATACAAAATGGAAACAGGAGGATGACCTCATATAATAGATTTATGACATTAGAGGTGGATTCAGAGAGAGCACACCTGTAAAAACAGGCTGTTTACAGCAGTAAAGGTTTATAATAAAAGATGCACGCTACAACACAACATATAAAGAAGCTTTGCATCAGCAGATTCCAACATCACCACCGTACTGCAGTGATGTGACGTCACCACCACTTCTGTTTTTACACTAATTTCACCCGAGCAACCACAACTCTGCATCAACAACCAGGTCACATGACAGGAAGCTGACGGTCGTCTCACCTGTGTCTGTTCATGCAAACGCAGTCTAAACTCTCCACGTAGATTCTATTCAGTATAAAAACATGTTTATAACACATTAAAATGTTGTTATAAGCAGATTTCAGTGTTTATTATTGTATTTGTCAACATCCCCTGTTGACACCTGTCAGTGGAAGCTGCTGTATAAACAGATTATGTGGTTAAAGCTGCTCATAACCACATTATTATGTGTTATAAACCACTTATTAAATGTCTGTATGAACACTCATGTTAATGATCAGCTTAGTAACATCTGGTAATAAACTAATAAACTGTTCTGACACCGGCCTGTAGAGGGCAGTAGAGTCCATGTGGCTCCAGGTTTAAACACACCTGACTGACACACACACACACACACACACACACACACACACACACACACACACACACACACACACACACACACACACACACACACACACACACTCTCTTTCTCTTTTATGATTTATATATAGACGACTAATAAAACAAAATAAATACATGATAATATCTTCCACTTTAATTCTCCTCAACAGTGTAAATGTATTTACACGTTCAGTTTATACAGGTATATAGGAACAGGTATATTCTCTATATTCTAAAATCCACTTTTATCATAACTGTATTAATTTCTCATCCAGATGCTGAACAAAAAAAAGAGACTCTTTCCTTTCCGGGGTTTTAATGGACGGTCATCGTGTTGTAAAGGGTTAATTGTGCTCAAACACAAAGCAAAAACTCCACAGACCAAACATGGTGAAACAAAGAGCAGATGATCTGACTTCAAAAGAAGAAGAAGAAGAAGAAGAAGAATCCCAGACACTGAGGTGAACAAACATGGTGTGTTCATGTCACTCAGTGGAAACTGAAACTGTCTCTCTGCAAATATAGTTAGAGCTCAGGCTCAGGTGAGTCTCTCTCTATCGCTGTCTCTCTCTCTCCCTATATATATATATATATGTGTGTATGTGTGTGTGTGTGTGTGTGTGTGTGTGTGTGTGTGTGTGTGTGTCTCTCTCTCTCTATATATATATATATGTGTGTATGTGTGTGTGTGTGTGTGTGTCTCTCTCTCTATATATATATATATGTGTGTGTGTGTGTGTGTGTGTGTGTGTGTCTCTCTCTGTGTGTCTCTCTATAATACAGTGATGTCTTCACCCTTGAGCCTTGAGCTGATATACACGATGATTCCTTCACAAATAAAACTGAAGTGAAGTGGAGTGAGCTGAACAGAGCAGGATGATAAAGAACAGAGACAGAAAATGAAATGACCTCTGTAACCAACTAAGACTAAAACAGCTTTATCTCACAGAGCCCATATGACTGTGGTGACAGGGTTAAACACACACACACACACACACACACACACACCACACACACACACACACACACACACACACACTCTAACGTCGTACTGCAGTGGTGTCATCCTCCCCCTCTGTGTTTCCTACTGTACAAAACACAGAGCAACAACATGCAGCAGCAGCAGGAGCAGGAGGAGGAGGAGGAGGAGGAGGAGGAGCAGCAGGAGGAGGAGGAGGAGCAGCAGGAGCAGGAGGAGGAGGAGGAGCAGCAGGAGGAGGAGGATGGATGGATGGATGTTACTGACAAGGAGGTGGAAGATCCTTGGGGAGTTGAGGTAAATAGAGCCGTTAAAATGAGTCGGATCAGCTGGTGGTCCGGGTGTTACTGCCCCTTCATCTGACTTATTACCTAAATAACACATTCTCCTCATCCCCTCTCGCTCTTCAACGTGCAGCTGGAGGTTTAGAAAACCTGAAGAGCAGATTCAACGTGTCAATAACGACTGTTAAAGCGCTGCAGGGCCACAGGTGCAACCACATTAAAGGAATAATTCAACATGTTGCCAGGGGATAATACAAAAATACAATTCGAAATTCACGTCAAACTACTGGATTATTCTTCACAGTTCGTCTGTGAGCACACACAAGTATGCCGTTGCTAATTTTGCAAGTCGGGGATACTTGTTTTTGTTGGTTTCCCACCAGTGGTGGGGATCGATGTGGAGAGGGGGGCGCTTGTCCCGGCAGCACTGATTTAGTTCGGTAGTTGTGTTCTGTGTTACAGGATTTTAAATCAACACGATAGTCGCATTAACTATTCGATGTTTTCAAATTTAATGAAATTTAACGAAAATCACTGATTTTGGCAAATGCTCGTATTTCCAGGAAGCAGCAGCAGAAGAAGGAGTAAAAACTGCCACGTTTGTGGTTTTACGGGGTTAATGTGCAGAACTATTTCAGTGACTTCCTGCAGGACGAGAGTTTCCACTGGTGACAAAAACACTGGGAAGAAAGAGTCCTGCATATAAATAAATACATTTCTGCACATTAACATTCAAATAAAAGAGGGTTCCACTTCACAATAAGACTGCCCTTATAAAGGATTTATAAATGGTTTATTAATTCAGTTGTGAACACTTAACACAAATAGATTGGTGCAGGTTCACTATTTGGCAAGATCAAGTTAATGCTTACTAATTAATCTGACTAATGACTTACTACCATTTATTTTCAGCGGAAAAACAAATAAAAAATTAGATAAACGGAATAATAAATATCTTAATATATACAATATAATAAATCTATGTTTATGTGAGACTGTAAATGCAGCATGATATTCGTTTTATCTCAGTTATCTTGTTTTCATAATCATTGGAGACAAAATCACAATCGAAAATAAAATTAGATTAATCGCCCAGCTCTACTCAGGAGGTCGGTAATAAAAACAGTTTTCTTAACAATCATGATTCTGTTGCGTTCTCCATGACGACGGATGAGAACATTGATGTCTCATTAAACCCTTGAATAAACGAGAGCGTCTGTAGCTGATGTACAGAGCTGCACAGAGCACACTGAGCGGAGAGGGAATGAGCGTCGTGTCTGAGGACGACGGGAGAAAAAGAGAGCTCATAAAAAACAAATTAGAAAAAGGTCAGAGTCAAAGTCAACGGAGAGTTTAAACTGCGGCAGACCAGCTTAGTCCTGAGGAGGAGAGGGGGTGTTTCTGGGATCATTATTCCTTCATACAGCAGAGGATTGAAAAATACATCACACATCATCTTGGGATTTCCTGAGATAATCAGGATGGAATACATTATTCTTAATGGAAGATATCAGCGATATAAATTTGACCTATGTCCAGGTACAGCAGCTGTCAAATACCCAAGCATGAACCTCCGAGGCTGAAACATGAAGCATCAACAGTGAAGAACCAGAAGCTGCAGTTCCTCTAATGGCCACTAGAGTCTGGCTTCAACAGTGAGTCAGTCCCCATAGACTCCCATGTTAAAGTATCCAACTTTACAACAGAAATAAACTTGTTTACAGCCTGGTGCAAAAACTGTTTTGGTCTCTAGAGCTAATTTCCTCCTTCATGACACCTGTTTATATAACTCACCTGTTTACATTTTATTAAGGACTACAGTTATGGAGGATTGAGGGCGTGGCCTCATTGAGTGACAGGTGGGTCAGCGTATGTCTGCTACATAGTCTCAGCTCAACACACGCCCCGCCTCTTTGTCCATTTTTGGATTAGGCCGGAGTTATGGGGCAGAGTCAGACACTGCCAAGATGGCGACAGTGGAGCAGCTCACTCTGAGCTTCAGGAACCCGTGGGCGACGTCACAGAGGCGACGTCCATCTTTATCTAAAGTCTGTGATTCGTTTATTGTTTATTGTCTTTTTTCCTGATATTCTTATAATTATTTCTGACCTGTAATTCTTCTTCTTTGCCTAACTGTGGACGGAGCTGGGAGGGATCCAGTAATATTCAATTTTGTGTTGTTACTTCTTTTTCTTTAGGCATAAATTATTGATCACAAAAAAAAAAAGTTGTGAGTAACTGAATTTTGGAACAGCACAAATAAAAAGCAGCAGTTGCAATTAATGATAACGGCACACAGTGTGACACTGAGCATCAGTGTGAAAAACACAGTCTCCATTTTAGCAACGTTCTGCAAGTGGATCATGTCTGTGCTGCTGCTGC